AATTTTGCAACTATGCAAATCAACAAAATTCAAACAACCGTATATCGAATTTTCACCAGATCATTGAAAGTTTTATTTCCAACAAATAACTTTTATTCCAATAGAATTTAAAATTCATGAAGTATACGAAAAATATATCATAAATTCATGAAGCATGGACTGTAAATTTAATACGAAAAATTGCATGAATTAAACAACTGAAACATAGAATTTTAACCCGAGGCCTGTGTTACACACAATTTCCTTAAAACAGTTCGCCCCCTCACCGTCCGTGCTTGAGGTTTAAAACGAGCGTCTGTTTCCCAGGATATAACGGTAAAACCAGTAGCTTTCGAGCACCGCAGAAACCACTCCGACGAACTGAACTAGTGCCTGAACTACACCACCACCAAGACAGAAATGCAGAAAAGACAGAACTCTATGCAAATGAATTTCTTGTGTATTCTAAACTTGAAAGCTTTTGTTTTGGTGTATTGAAATGAGGAAAATGAGCCACTATTTATAGGTTAGGCTACCATTAATGGCAATGACCTTTGAAATTTCTCATCTTTTTCCTATGTGGGACAAATTTATTTTTCCCACATAAACTCCATTTTGAGTGGCACACTTTGAGTCTCAATTTCTCATTCACCCGAACATCATCTTTGGCAAGTAAGTATATGATTTTGATGTACTCACGGAGGAGAACACAAATCAACTTTCATCTTCCAAATTGAACAATCGGATCCCACTCAAAACTCGTGCCAAAGTCGGCTCATAACTCAATTTTTTTTTCCAACAATTTTAACCTGCTCTAAACGTGAGCCAAATATTATGACTAATATGTAAGAATATGCTACTTGTACATAATGCGGTGTTCACCCGGGTGTCCATCCCCCTTACATGAAGCACCGCTTCGAATAAATTATATTTTATTTGAAGTGGGTCCCCTCGTGTGAAGGGAGTAAATACAGGGATAGACACCTTAATGTATGTGTAGCATCACTCTAATGTGTATATTGCAAGAAAAAATAGATAAAATTGTGCTTTCTACATGCAACTTAATTAAGGAATACAATTCCGTCCATGACTTGCTTTGATCAAGTTTTACTTATCTTTAATAAAGCAAAATGAATTATTCACTTCGATGAAAAACTGGTAGAAAATTAGGGTTCATCTAATCTTTTTCTTTTCTGATGTCAGAATGTAGAGATTCTTTGAAAGTCTTAGAACTTTTTATCACGTTTAATCTAAGTTTGTTTAGAGGTTGTTTGAGCCTCATTTTTCTCAAAAAATGCATTTTGAAAGTGTTATGATGGAGAGTGTGTGATTAAAAAATAAGGAAAAGTTTTGGATTTACGTGTAATATTATTTTATTGAAAATGTGTGATTGAAATAGTGTTAAATCACTGTCGAATAATGTATTTTGATGTAAAAATGGGCCTCAAACAAGGACTTATGTGTATCTTTCTTAATAATCCAAAGTTACAATTTAACTTTTTAATGTTGTCTCTTCCACATGAATTCAATATCCGTCGTCAATAATTAATTTTAACAGAATATTTTATGAGATCCACGAATTTTTAATTATATATCTCATCAAATTTTATTAAAATCTATTAATTTAATCAAACACCAAACAAGGGTTTAGTTTGTCCACGTTGGATTAATAGATCGACTTACTAATGGTTAATTTGGAATTAAAATGCAACTTTAGTGACCAACCTGAAATTTCTTGTATGGCCAAAATTGCCCTTTTACATCCCATTGGGGCATGGCATTAATGATTGCTAGATGTATAGTGCATGTTTGGTTCTGATTTTTCACATTTAAAAATTAATTTTTTGGCTGTTACTTCTCTAAGTTAGTCGTCATTTTTTACTTCTTCTCTCATAGGCAGGACCCACATTTCTCTCTAATGGTAAAAAAATCAATTCTTATAATCACTATCGAACAAGCCCGTAATAATAATTGCCTATCTTTACCAACAATTTTTTTGACTAAGTTAGAACTAAAACGTAAATTTTAGTGACTAATTTGAAATTCATTGTAACTTTGGTGACCAAATTAGAACTAAAACGTAATTTTTAGTGACTAATTTGAAACTCATTGTAACTTTGGTGACCAAATGTATATTTTATCCAAAACTAGACACATCTTTTTTCACTGTTTACAACTTACAGGGTGAATTGGTCATTTTGGAACTATGAAAAATTTGCAGTTCATCCTCAACATATTCATTTGATAGAAAATTGGTACTCAAGTTTATTATTCTAATATCACTAGTTGCAAAGCCGTGTTTGGCGTATACTATAATCCAAATTTTAATAGATTTTAATAAAAATTGATGAAATATATAATTGAAAAGTTATGAATTTATTAAAAGGGCGTTTGTTTCTCATTTTTGTAAAAATGAGAATGAAAAATATACCCGTTATAAGCCTCACACAAGAGATATAAATTCAAATTTGATAATTTGATGTGATGGATAATAGTCATATTTTTCATTTTAATGAGAAAGAATGAGAGATAAATAGGGGCTAAATGTGTGACTAAAATTATTTGTTGATTTTGATCTAAAATTTTTATCAACTTTTCATCTACATGATCCATGGACAAAATTTATTAGACCATTGAAGTTTTCTATAGGAGTGGAGGGGTTGGGAGGAACACAATGAAAGTGGGTGACAATCTTAGACTTTTTGAGGCGGCAAAATAGATGTTTAAAAAGAAGGGAACAAGTTGCATAATGTCTCTAGTCAATTAACATTACACTATTACTCACCATGTATTTTGAAATTCGATGAAATTTATTTCGGTCTCCTAAATTTTCCTTAATGGATGCTTTGAATATAGCATGTGCTTTGTATTGTGATTCGGTGTTTTAGCTGTTTATATTTTGTATGTGTTGACAGTAACGGACATACGGTCAAAATAGACATTACTTTCAACTGTAGATGTTAATTAACTTTAGAGCTTGTTTGAATCCCTTTTTCTTTTAAAAATGTACTTTGTAATAGTGTTATGATGAATAACGTGATTAAAAAATAAGAAAAACTTTTGAATTTGCGAGTAATATTATATTAATGAAAAATCTGTGGTTGAAAGAGTTGAGATATGCCATTCAAACAAGGCTTAAGAGTACATTTTGATGGGAAAATTTGGCTCAAACAAGGGCTAAGTGGTTAAGTGAGTTAAAAAAATACTTTAAAGATTAATTTGAAATTTGACATAAACTTCAGTGACCATTTGTGAAATTAACTACGAGGGGCATTTTGGAACTTGTACCAAAATCTTCTTCCCCACCCAGTCTCTGTCTTGGACAAAAAGCTTCGTTGTTTCTTCTCAGTTTACCATCTCAAAATCACAAATCAGTTTAACCACCAAAACTCCATTTTCGAAACTAAGCCGGATCTGAAGTATGAGTCGGGGAAGCGGAGGTGGCTACGATCGTCACATAACGATCTTCTCTCCCGAAGGTCGTCTCTTTCAAGTGGGTAAGCGTTTTTGGTTACGCAATTTCCCTCCAATCTCTAGCCTACAGCTTTTGATTTAGCTTTACTTTAGTTTAACTTTACTGGGTTTTTTGTAATGTAATAATTTGTGAGGGTTTTAGTTTTATGTTTAATTAATATTCGCAGAGTATGCTTTCAAGGCCGTTAAGGCTGCCGGAATCACCTCCATTGGTGTGCGCGGAAAGGACTCCGTTTGTGTTGTAACTCAGAAGAAAGTCCCGGTCGGTACAGTAAATCAATATGATATATTAATTTTTTGACGTTTTGATTTATTTAGGGTTTTAGTTTTATGTTTAATTAATATTCGCAGAGTATGCTTTCAAGGCCGTTAAGGCTGCCGGAATCACCTCCATTGGTGTGCGCGGAAAGGACTCCGTTTGTGTTGTAACTCAGAAGAAAGTCCCGGTCGGTACAGTAAATCAATATGATATATTAATTTTTTGACGTTTTGATTTATTTATTTTTAGATTGATCGGGCTTTGCAAAATAAATACCTTTTTTAGTTCAAAAAACCTATTTTCATTGATCCTAACTGCTGGAATCAACCATTTCGCTGCTTAAAAATGATGTGCTTAAATTAAAAGGGGTGGTGAGAGGATTAGATTAAATAGCTGGTCTGAAATTATATTTATGATTTGCGTAAATGTCGGAGCAGGACAAGCTTTTGGATCAGACGAGTGTGACACATTTGTTTCCAATTACTAAGTATGTTGGGCTATTGGCTACCGGAATGACAGGTACTTTCACCTTGGCCTAATTTTCTTGTTTTGTATAGAATTGTTTGTATGCCCTGGGTTATGATTTAATCTCAACTAAGTGAGAATTATTTGCATTTCTTTCCTGTTAAGGTAATGGGATCTTGACGAATTAACTGTTTGCCTTTTGTTTTGGGACGGGGAGTTAGTTTACTAGCAGTGCAGGAAGAGTTGGAGTTCAAGAAAAATTGAATAAGGCATTGATTATTAACTAGTGGGTGCTACTATATGCTATATCATTATTTCTAATTACTAAAGAAAGAACCATATAGATTGTATACTAATCAATTTTTTTACCAATTTGTCTATATATTAATGTATTAAGAAAAGTGTAGACATGAAAGTCTAGAGTTTCATTGGAATGAGTCCTAGAAACACATAATGTTTTTTTAGATTTCGTGGAATGTTCTTTTTTGCTTGAATGCAATTTTGGTACTAGAAATCCATTTTAGACTTGTGGCTTGGTTGAGAAGCTCCTTCATGACTTGCTTGAGTTCATGGTTAGGTTCTGATATATCGTTTTTTTTTCCCCTTTTACTTTCCAGCTGATGCAAGGACCTTGGTTCAACAGGCGAGGAATGAAGCTGCTGAGTTTCGTTTTAAATATGGATATGAAATGCCAGTTGACATATTGGCTAAATGGTACGATAACTTTATTTCATGTTGCTGCTGGAAACCTGGTGCAAGGAAAATGTCTGACATTTTGGCATTGCTTTGTCTTTCCAATATTTTATGCCAATTGCTTCTGTTTTTTGTGTGCCAACTGTTTATAATGTTAAATAGTCTAGGACCTCAAACAGTAGTCCTAGGATTCTGCAGTGTATAACACATTTTACTTATATATATCTTGGGTTAGTGAAGTAAACGATTGAAAAATCTCATTGTGTAATTTAACTTGATATGTATACTTGCTCTTGAATGTTGGTTGTATTTTGTTTGTTATTGACGATAAGCTTGTCTAATTGATTACAGGATTGCAGACAAGTCTCAGGTTTATACACAGCATGCCTATATGAGACCCCTTGGAATAGGTTCGTCGCTAGTTATTTGCAAACTTATTGAAAGAATCTTCACAATATTCTGTTTCTGCACATAATTTATTTGTGCTTCACAGTTTTTGTTTTCAATGTAAAGTTGCAATGATATTGGGTATTGACGAGGAGAAGGGACCTCAGCTATTTAAGTGTGATCCTGCTGGCCATTTTTATGGTCATAAGGTAATTACAATATTTCTTTAAAATGAATTTCATAACTGTTGCACCAGATGCACGAGTTTTTCATATAATTTTCCTGAAATTTCTTTCCCCTTGTCTGTAGTAACTATTCCTCTAGGCGGTTGTGATACATCCGAAATGATAACCAAGCCTAGTTCTCACTGATAGGGGTCCACAGCTTGCTTCCAAGCCTGGATTACCTGGAAAGAATATATTAAAACTACTATATTAATGAATTCTCTCTTTTAATGCCATTAAAATTGGTTTTCCGAGCAGACCTGCCAGCTTTAATGTGGCTCGGAACTTCTCGTGACCTAGAACCCACAAGTTCTTGGTTCCTTTTGTTAAGCATTTTCTGTTGTAGTGTCAAGGAGTCTTTGTTACTGTAATTTCAGATCGGGTGAATTTGGGAAGATGATTCAAGTAATAATAGCCAATCCTTAGTTAGTGATCCATGCACGGTATATCCACATGGTTAATATCGAGGAGCTTGTTTGAGCCCCATTTTTTGCCCAAAATTCATTTTGAAATAGTATTTTGATGGAGAATGTGTGGTTAAAAAATAAGAAAAAGTTTTGAATTTGCGTGTAATATAATTTTATTGAAGAACGTTGGTTGAAAATAAGAGAGACAATAATGTATTTTGAAAATAATGGGGATCAAACAAGGGCTAGGTATATCTTTCTCATTTCAACCTTTTTACGTTTGAGACTCAAAGCAATTAGTATTTTCTGTTTAATGCAACAATCAGGTTGCAGCGTGTTCTTTCTTAGAAGGGCTTGGCTTTGGCCCTGCTGTGGTAGATAGAATCTGATGAATTGGGCTTAAGTTGTGTCTTCATTTGCACCAACATTTCTAAGCAACTAAAATATCCCTAGTTTCTTTGAATCATTTGACTCCAAAATCACATGCTCTAGTTGATTTTATCTTCCTCGAAGCCTAGTTTTGGCCAAGAGCTAGTCAAAATCATTTTGCCAGTTGTGTATCTACTATCTTGTATAAAACAAACTAGATACAATGTAACTGATTAATGATGCTCTAATGATCAAAAGATCTCAAAATAAAAAGAAAAATATCATTAACGCGAGTATAGCATATCCTCTTTGATTCTGTGATGCTGAGTGTAGTTGTCAAAGTATAAAATGGAGATAAACTGTTTTGTTTTGCATTGAGCTGATATCTTTCCTGATTAAGGGTTCCTTTTTTTTTTGCCTTTTTTATTTTGCTGATTAAATGTTCTATCGCCATCCATCCTTGCTGATTAAATGTATTATCGCCATCCATCTAGAGTTGGTTAAATTAGCAATGAAATTTTATTCTATTTTTCTTCCGTCAGTACCCTCTTACTGAAGAATCACTGAAGAATCTTGCTTTGTTGTGGCATCTTTTGGTGGTGGACTAACTTTTTACATTCATCTTTATTTTTTAGGCAACAAGTGCTGGATCAAAAGAGCAAGAGGCAATTAACTTTTTGGAAAAGAAGATGAAAAATGATGTTACATTTTCCTACGAGGAAACTGTACAGGTAAATAAAAGTCACATTGTGAATATGTTCTTTAATGATGTTTTGCATATTGGATATATAGTCCTTGATTTTTAACCTGGTGAATAAAAAGAGCGATGTTTTGAAACCTAATTTGAGTTCTCCTCCATTTTAAATACGTGTGAACACTGACAATTCCCAGAAAGTAAACTTTAGTTTGAATTGAAATTTTTTTGAACCTAACTATAATAATTATTAATTAATAAATATGCTCATGATCATGTGGCCAATTGTGAACAGACTTTAATATTGCTTTAAGCATATATTAAATTCTTCCCAACTCCATGTTTTAGTTACCACAATGAATTTGATGACTACATGGTGCATTCTACTTTTCTACAAGTAGAATTGCAAGATGTTAATTGCTCTACCTACCCAGGGGTCCTGCGATAAGTGTATATATGTGGTGCGATATTGAAGGCTTTTAGCAAACTCCTCTACTTCGGTTGTTAGCATTTTGTATAAAATAAATCATAATCACGTCTGAAGTATTGGATATGTATTGTTTACTTTCAATCATGGAAATGCAATAGGATTTAGCACCAGCTTCCTTCTAACTCTAATCATCCATTAAAGATAGATGTATTCAATGAAGATAATTGTTCCACATGGGTCCCACACCAATTGCAGCTGAGGATTAGGATTAGACATGTATGGAATAAGATTCCATGGCTAATCAAAGATTATTTGCACCAATAGAATAATCCTCACCCCAACCCTAAAAGAAAGAGGTAAAACAAGAAAAGGCTCGCTATCAATAGTTACAATTCTTTTCTAATGTTGCTGACTTTTATAATCATCATGTATTGATGATGGATGATTTGAACTCAACATATTAACAATCAAATAGAATCGATGCCTAATATATATTTTCGTTTGTAAATGCCGGAGGATTTGACTCCACTTTAGTGTAGGAGTATGCTCTCAATCAAACAGAATATCAAACAGAATCCACTTCCAATTTTTAAGCACGGTTTATTTTTAAAAATAGTGTAGGAGTATGCTCTCTGTCATGAAATTTGTCTTCTTTCTAGACTTCAATTTGCGAAGCGTAGAGTTAATAATCATAGGACTTGTCTCAAAAAAAGCTAGAAGTGCAATATTGTATAGTGTTAGAATAAAAGCCAGTGGGAAGAGCAAGTAAGGAAAGGATGTAACTGCTCTAGATTTAGTAGAGGACGTTGCTTGGAATGCTCAACAGTATTTTTATATCTTACCAAGCGAGAGAGATGATCTTTTCTTCAGTCATAAAAATTCTTCTAATCTAGAGTGTTAAGCTTGAGTTAGTTTCATACGAGCACATCTGTACAGATGTTTTTACTCTTATATGACATTTAATGTTTGAGTTCTAATTTTGTACTATTGATTCTTTTTATAGACTGCAATTTCTGCTCTGCAATCCGTTCTACAGGAGGATTTCAAGGCCAGCGAGATTGAGGTAGCCAACTTACCTGTCAATATCACTTATTTCTGTTAATTATTTAACAACGGATAGTTGTTCTGCTCTTATCTCTATCTCACATAGTAATTGCAGGCATTTGATATTTATTCTGCATTTCTTTTAATGACACAACGTTTTACCATTTTGTGTGTCCGTCACCATTCCGGGGATAATCTCAACTTTCATATTAGCATGAATGCATTACTTTTTGGAGTGGTGTAGCATGTCTTACTGTTGTTGCATTAAATCTTGTCTTTGCCAGGTGGGTGTCGTGATGAAAGAAGATCCAGTCTTCAAAGTTTTGTCAACTGAGGAAATTGATGAGCACCTGACTGCTATTAGTGAACGTGACTGACATTCTGCTATCAAAAATTTCAGCGTCTCTTTTATTTCGTCGTGTGTAAGATAGACAAATTAGTTTATGTTGCATATGTTTGGATTACTACATCAAATTCTGTTGCAGTATTTCTCTTTATATCGTGCTCCTTGATCAGCGCCACTTGAATACGGATTTCACTTGAGCCTCGTGTTATTAATGGCCAGTCTCATTCAACATACAGCTTTACCTTTCTCTTTGTATTTGACAATTGTCATATTAGTATGGTAGCTCGGGTGTGAAGGACTGGGCTGTTTTGTACACATCCCAACCATAAAAGCTAAAAAAGAAAAGAATTGTGTACGAAAATGCTCTTGGTACTTTTCCTTCTTCAAACCCAGAACCCGAATATCTTCAATTTATACAAAGTACTATTACTGGCACCATGGGACTGAACTAGATTAGGAACCTCGTTACAGTATTATTGATGTGTGCAGTCCCAACTTAAGCAGTGCTATCTTTATGAAGCTGTCAACTGCAGTTTTCCTATGAAATCACAATTAAGAGATCCCAAATACAAATGATTTTCAAACTCCAGTGCAGATGTTACGAAGGACATAACCTTTCCTGTTGGATCATCAAATCTCCTTATTATCTTGCCATCACTTGCTACATTGATGACAGTTGCTTTGTCGTTGACACCAATTACCCATTTGCTTAATTTAGGGAAACACATTATAATGTGTTTTAGTGTTCTTGATCTGTGCACAAATTCCAGCCCATTAGGAACCAGCTGCAGTAGCAGAGAAAATCTTCAGTAAGTAACGAATATGATGAGAAGTTCTCTTTGCTGTATTGGTTATCACAACCTTTTAGTTCTTATCCAAAAAGAATTGTTCATATCTCCGTTAAAGTGTCACATGACTTCGGTGCAATTATGCCTCACTTGGATATCATAAACATTTGTCAAGACAGACATATGGATGGTTTCTGTCTTTGAGGATCGACTTGTGCAGATAAATGAGATGATTTTTCTCAATAGAAATTTTTTTACCTGTAACAAGGCAATCCAAAAAGAGCCATCTGGAGCAAGATTTATGTTATCAGGTCCACCAGGAAGATTGTCAATAAATATCTCTGTTTGCCCCATCTTTTCCTCTTTTAGCCAATATTTTAAGCACCTAAATCTGACCCACAAAATGACAAATAGAAATAGATTAAAGACGTATTTGAATTAAATTCTAAAGAGAACACCCCACGCTCCCTCCCCCCAACTCTCCTCCTCTTTTTCATTTTTTAAGGTGCATCACAATCTAGATAGACGGTGACAATAAAATAAATTATGAGAGATCACAATAAAATAAGTTGTGAGAGAATGATCAACTTAAATTAATAGACATAATTAGAAGAAAAAAAATCTCTTCGTTTTCACATTAGAGACACGCTACTTCATTTTTTAAAGTGTGTCACAATCTAGATAGACGATAACAATAAAATAAGTTATGAGAGATCACAATAAAATAAGTTATGAGAGAACGATCGACTTAAACTAATAGACATAATTACAAAAAAAATCTCTTCGTTTTCACATTATAGACACGCTACACACAGTTAATTGCAAGTATGGACAGCGAAATTAAACATGTAATCACCCAATTGTTATTAGAAAAAACTTACTTCCAAGATTCACAAATGATCAAGAAATCTTGATCTGCAGAGAGGGCAACACCATTTGCAAAGGCAAGATTATCAAGCAAAATAGATGTCTCCTTTGATGATGGAGAGTACATTAAAAGCTGCCCATGAGGCTTTGCCTCAAGCACATCAAGGTGCCAATTATGGAGGCTAAATTTTGTACTCGCAATGCTGAAGTACAAATTACCATTTGCTGACTCTATCACATCATCTGCAAAACTTTTATATATTTATAATAAAAAGAATATAAGTATTAATGTAAAATCAACATCATATATATTACTTGAATGCATAGCGTAGCATGTACGTATTTTTGTCACTTTACAATATAATCTAAAGGTGTAAAATCAATCGTGTCACCATGTTGCTCGACTAAATTAAAGTAAAATTGAGATTAGACTTGATGGTTGATATTTTGTAGGTTTCCAAGCTTCATCAATTATATTTAAGCGCGATTGAATGGTTTAATTTCTTGATGGAAGAACTCGGGTTATCTTTGATAGGTCGGTATAATAAATAAAACTTTAGACTTTTTTCTTTCTGTAATATCATCGGACGATCGGATAATTATCCGAGTGCTCATCCAATTGGCCAAGGTCTGCTACGGCTAAGCAAGCGGCCCACTCTTCTCTATCATTCAATTGTGATAGCTTGCCTTTCTATAAAGATCTGATCTCTAATAGACCTTGACTACGCACTTCAATTATCATGAAAGAACAATTCCCTGCGTACAGGGAATTGTTTACAGTTTGATTTGATTGAGATAATTAAGTGAGATTCTGTCATGTGTCTATCTATTGTGAATTTTTCTGTAAGTCTAGCATGGTTCATCATGAAATACGAGTACGACAACAGAGACAACTGAATGACTCAATTATTGTTCATATAAACATCAATTAGACAGAGACTTGATGGAGTAGTCATCATCTTTTGATCATATAAACTGCCAAAGTATTGTCCATCATGCATGGCCAATGGACCCAAAGAGATAAAAGATTCCTTTACCATGAAAGATGTTGAAACGTTATTTTAAAATTTTAGACAAGCTAGTTTTCCAAAATATTAGAGCAAACACGTTGTAAGGTAAAGTTTCGTGTAACTCATTATGAAAATTACGCCCATATATCAATTATTTAATACAGCATGAGTTTGACACGTATGTGAGATAACGTGTTGAATTTTTATTTTTTCTAAAAAAAGCTTTATGATGTTGCTCACAATACTATTCCAAAATACATAAGTTTTTTAGCAAAAGAAGTTTTACCAAACAAGTACTAAATGTGTTAATATATTAATGTCCAGTAGTTTAATTCATCCACCAGTTGATCAAATGCTAACGGGATCTTACCTTATTTTGACATCATTAACATGGGATGCAAGAACTGTTACACCATCTTCTCCAACCTTAAGCAAACCCTATGCATCATCAGTCATAGTCAGAAATGGTTTAAATAAATAAATGTTTCGTTTCTCTAACAGCTTAAAAATCTTAAATGTCGTGATTCAATATGAAGATCTTCAGCTCCATGGAAATTGTTATAGAAAATGAATTCCTGATTCTAGAGGAGGGGGGATAATAAAGTCTCTTCTTAAACTTTTAGATAACGACGTTGATCCAAAAGAAAAAAGAAAAAATCTTGGAGATGTACAGATGATCATATTCCTTGTACCTTCTCGGAGTCGCATACAACAAGATCACCAGCTGCTGTTGTAGTTAATCCAAGTAAAGCATCGCTGTCAATATGCCTCCAACTGTCCCATGATCCATTTCTGTACAATCTTCTGATCCAACCATCTCTAGTAGCTGTATAAAGAACACCCATTTTGTCCACAGCAATGGCCTCTGGTTTCTTCAAAACCCCTTCTCCAAGTTTATCCACTTCCTACAGTTTATATACAAGTATCAACCATTGTTCATACACACAAAAGTAAGTGTAATTAAGGTATCTAAATACCTGTAACTTGCTGTTTGATGGGGCAAGCAAAGTGGAAGAAGTTGGAGGAAGACGGAGAATATCAGGTGAAAGTGGGAATAAGACAAAAACTTGGAGGGCAATTGCCAATGCACAAACAATTAGAATGACTGAACATGTTCTCTTGTCCATGACTTAACACTAACTTCAATGGAGGCTATGATGCAAGAAGGGTTTTAACTTATAAGGGTAAGATGGAAAGGAAATCTAATTTTTCTACCAATTGACTCCAATTTGGACTGCTCTCTTCTTGGTGTCAATCGGGTCAGGTAGGACCGGCTGCAAAGCGCCCACTTACAGGTGGCCGTTCCAAGATTTAGCCCTTGCCATTCTTTACTCATTTTTAATTACACATTCTCACCATAAAATATTTGTCATGCAAATTCAATATTTTTTTTTTTACCACAATTTCTCCAACAAAAATGACCATCAAATAGGGTCTTAGACTCTTAGCAATGCCTGCCACGTTCTCTGTGGCCCTTTTCAACTCGTGGGCAGATCCCAATGTTAGCTGGGCCAAATTTAGCCCATGTTTGTTGGGTTTCAATTTGAAAAAAACTAGGGAACAATATATAATTCGTAGATATAAGAATTAAATTTCGAAACTAACAAAATTGTTAGATTATTTCAAAATTTAGGTGTTAATTTCAATTCATAATATATATATATATATATAATTAATTAATTGAAAATAATTATCTCCACCCCCTAACCCACCCCACCACTCCAACCAGCCCACACCAATTGTAAATAAAATTTCAAAAATTGAAAATATTTTCTGGAGATCCCACCAATCCCTACTGCCAAAATAATTTCCAAAAATTTAAAAATGGAAATAACACCCCCACCTCACCTCCCAAATTTTTTTCCAAAAATTAGAAATTGAAGATTACATCCCACCTCACGAAACCACCCCACCCTACCACACCCATCCAGAAAATTTACAAGTTACTGTGTATAATCAAGTTATTGACACTTGTTATCCGTAATCAGTTGTGACCAAATTTGTATTCAATGTGACTCACTGTGATCAAATTTTTATTCAGTATGTATAGACCCAGTGAAATTTAATTGTGACGATATGTTATCAAGTCACAATTATTCTTAACTGTGATGGTCGTGACCAAGTCAATCTTAATTGACACAGTATGTGATCCACTGTGATGGTATGTATTATTCCCTTTTCAAATTGGAATAGAGTTTTTAGGCCGCAATTATTCTTGGATTGGCCTATACATCTAACCAAAAATCTTCTTTGTTATTGGATCTGGCTTGAATTAGATCGGGCTATAGCCAAGTCTAACCCCTCTAGATTTGCCCTTGCTCGCAAATCATTTATCTTCATGGAAGGTGCATGATTTTCATAAAAAGGTTGAAAGCGAGATTGGAAATAATGTGTCTAACCACCTCATGTAAAATGATAAAATTATTAAGACGAAGAAATGTTTATTTATTTTACATTCTACTCTTCAACATGTCTTACCTTCTTCGAGTCGCATACAATGAGATCGCCAGCTGCTGTTATATTTATTCCAAGTAAAGTTATTAGTAGTGTTGTAGTCATTGCAACGACAAAATGAGTAACTCAATTTGGTTTTTCAAGATTTTGTTAAGTTTTCACCAACTTCAAAGTTCATCATATTCATCTCCATTTTCGAGTGTGTGAAGTGAAGATTTGCACCAATATCTTCTTAGGTAGTGATGTCAACTGGATTGAAGGCCGATTGCACACAGGTTCGACACCACCCTTTTATGCACTTCGACCATACTTTGGGCAAGTTCGCATACTTCCAAGTGCGTCGGGGAAAGATGCACCCGGGCCCACTTTATATTATAGTTTCATTTTTATTTATTTATTTTTTTTCATTCGAATTTAATTTAGACCATAGTACCAGGCCACGCACTTAGGGAAAATGTTTGAAAATATTGCCAAACGTCTTACCTAAAATTTAGCCGAAAGGTTAAAGCGGATATTTGCCATTACTTGACAATTGCAGCCACCAACGGTCATGTTGGAGAGTCACCTAACAATGCACTTTGACCCTCAACAGATGCGGTGTAAAGACCGAAATGTGAAAGACTTATTATGTTCAAAGTCATGTTTAACGTTATTCTATTATTAATGCCTCGAGATCCAAGAACAAGCAGACACATATAGATTATTTTAAGGTTCAAAACATATTATAAACCATTTACTATCAAGAACGCGGATTCTGGTCAACGGAGACGGACTTCAGATCAAAGTTTTTTGTAAATATTGTGTTTTCACGTTTTCATTCACGATTTCCTCTATCCAGTATCACATGACATAGGTGGTTTCTTATTGATATGGTCAAAGAATAATGCAATAGCACCAATAACTTGTGCTCTCTTCATGGCTCGATCAGTACTTGGATCCCGATGCAGCTGCCGCAGGATGGCTTGCAGCCTGGTGTGCTGCTTTCTTATCTTCCAGATATACTCGTTTGTATTTCAAGTTTATGTCAAAGTAGGGAACATAAAGCGGAATATACTCCCGGACTTCCATCCTCTCGTCCACGACCTGGTGGAGCCGGAGCAGTTGATCCTTCTCCCACCATATGGACTAAAAGATTGGCAAAAAGTCAACCTGTTCGATGAATTCCTCAATCAATCATCGTTACTCAGGAACATATTCTTCCCTAGTCGTGCATTTCTTGTAGATCCAATAGATCCAAGAAAGGGTCTGGACAACGGTAGCTTGTACTATTATCCTGGGCGTGAATGGTTGGATACTGAAGGAAATCCTATTCAGTCTCATGGGGGTGGCATTTTGTATGATGAGATATCAAGGACTTACTATTGGTATGGTGAGAATAAGAATGGTCCTACTTATAGAGCTGGAGGAATCGGTACAGCACGTGTTGACATTATCGGTGTTGGTTGTTACTCTTCAAAGGACCTGTGGACGTGGAAAAACGAAGGGATTGTGCTAGCCGGGGAGGAAAAGAATTCGACACATGATCTGTACAAGTTCAATGTGCTGGAGAGGCCTAAAGTGATTTACAATGAGAAGACGGGTAAATATGTAATGTGGATGCATATCGATGATGCCACCTACACCAAAGCTTCTGTCGGGATAGCCGTTAGCAACTCCCCTACCGGCCCCTTTGAATATCGTTATAGCTTAAGGCCTCATGGATTCGATAGCCGGGACATGACAATTTTCAAAGACGACGATGGATTAGCATATCTGATATATTCTTCCGTTCGAAATAAGGAGCTTCATATTGGTCCGCTTAATGATGATTATCTTGATGTCACGAATGTTATGGCTAAGATACTTGTTGGACAGCACCGGGAAGCCCCAGCTTTGTTCAAGCACCAGGGGGGTTACTACATGGTCACGTCGGGATGCAGTGGTTGGACACCAAATGAGGCACTGGTGCACGGAGCGAAATCTATTCTGGGGCCGTGGGCAACCATACGGAACCCGTGCATCGGGGCCAATGCAGTTTTTCGGATTGCAACGTTTTTTGCTCAAAGTACATTCGTGCTTCCGATGCCCGGGGCGATTCCAGGCTCATTTATTTTCATGGCAGATAGGTGGAATCCATCTGACTTGAGAAACTCAAGGTATGTATGGCTGCCTTTAACTGTTAGAGCAACAGAGGAGTGGTATAATGGATTTCCAATAAAGACAAGAGTGTCTATCTTTTGGCATGAAAGATGGAGGCTTCCACTTAGCCTGAAAGAGGATCTTTAAGTCGTAGTTTTTTAGAATTTTTATGCCTAATTTGAAGGGAAATTTGAATAAAGAACACTAAATGAGAATGCCTTCCACTCTCCTATATATTGTACCTCTCTTGGCATTATGTACAGGTTTTCTGAATTTGAGTGCATATGATATTTGATAGTGCTCTCCTCACAGGTGTGCGTACATCGACAAGGAGAAAATAAAATAAAACACACAGAAAACTCCGATACGAAAGGATCATACCTAACTTAGTATTGAGTAAATTTCGAGTATAACACCCACTCTAAAATAAAATACATTGAGAAACTTGAATAAGAAAGGGTCAATGATGTACCAAGGCGCAGTCCTTACCATTTACCAATTCATGCTGCTGTTGGTTTTAGTGAAGAAGCAAAGATTTTGTGGCCGAGAAGCCAAACCTTTATGTAAAATTGACCTCACCATATGGTATTTGTGACCTTCACAAGCCAAAAGTTTTCCATCTGTATTCTTGAGCGTAAACTTTGTCTTGTGAAGAGAAGTTAGATGCTTCAGCGAGAGAGACTTAGAAATAAGCTGCATCAAACATGGACTACTTACGAACAATTGTGTGAAAGACGCTACAAAAAATGCCATTTGTGACCTTCACAAGCCAAAAGTCTACAAAATGTCAATTTAGTTATATATTGCATATACAATTGCAATATCATTGGTATCTGGTTTGATAGAGAAGAATCCACTTTAGTGCTTTTTAGGATTGCGGAACATTTCGTTGAACGTCAATGTTTCGTTAAAAGTATAAACCGCAAGTGCACGGGTTGCGGTCAAGTAAAAAGTTGACCTTTTTGAGTCTGAATTTTAGATCTCTTGAGGGATGTTTACTTTCGATTACACAACTTTATAATTAGTTTAATTTTAGCAACAAAAACAAACACACAATAAATATTTGGTTTGGAAAATAACTCAAAATCTACAAAATATAAAAAATTATAAAAATCTTGGGAATTTCGGAAGAAAACTTGGTTAGGATTCATGGTTTCGCTTAACCATTGCCTAATTAATTTCTCTACAAGCCAGTTGCAAATTACTCATTTACGATATTAAACCCGATTTTCAATTTTTGTTAATTACCTCTTTCGAGCGAAATTGACCATAATCGATTGGTTTAACTTACTATATCTCTATATCGTTTCAAATCCTTCCCAATATAGCATTTAATATTATCACTACCACAATAGGGATGAGCACAAATAAGTCAGTTCAATTACAAGTCATACAATGCAGTTTGTTTCTATCATATTGAATCTTCTTCATGAGATTTGCAATCATAAAGGTTGGGTTATTCCCAAAAATGAGTCCTTTATGAGTTTAAACACATCCCTCTCGATGATTTTTGTATGTCTATCTTGGACTACAATTTATTTATGTCCCTCTTGGACAGCAATTTGGTACCATCAATGTTTGCAAACTTTTATTTTTCGTCTGTACTTCTACACATCTATAAAATTTTCTAAACTTTCCAAAATTTTAATATCACAGATTTCATTATAATAAGATAAACATATGAATTTTCTAATATTGTGTTTTTTAACACATTTGAGCAGATTCATCCATTGAGCTTTTGCATTTTATCTGCAAATCTACAATTTTATTTTCAACACTTTTCAAAAGTTAAGTTCTATGCTCATATGTTCTAGAGCACCTGAGAACTTATGAGGTGAAGCTGTCCTAATTTCGTATTATATATTGAATCGAGTGATTGTTAAGAATAATATTAAAACTCCATATGATTTAAAAAAAAAGATAGATACTCCTTAGGTTAAATTTTTCAAAAGTGTGGGAGTGTTTGTCAAATGTAGTTATACCTAATCCTAAAGAAAGAAAATATGACTAGGACCGTGGATCCTATTTCATAGGATATGCTCAAACTAGTAGCACAAATAGGTTCTTCATTGTAAATTTTGAACTCATTGATATTACAAATAAAATCATCATTAAAGCTAGAGATGCTACTTATTTTTAAGATGTTTTTCTATTTAAAATTAGAATTTCAAGTGAAACCTTGACTTTTAAGAAACCTTTTTAAATATTACTCTATCTAGTTCATCTTTAGAATGTGAAGTTGAACATGAATTTAGGAGAAGTAAAAGTATTACGAAAGAGAAATATTTTGGAGAAGAATTCCTTACATATCTAGTTGAACATGAATCCGAAACTTTTAAAGATGTTATGGTATCTACTGATGCGCCTTATTAGAAAGAAGCTATCATTGATGAGTATGAGTCAATTATATAAAATGATATTTGGGTTTATGTGATTTACCTCTAGGTAATAATGCAATAGGATATAAGTGGTAGTAGCTAAAAGATTCACTCAAAATGAAGGAGTTGATTATTTTAATGCATTGCATGAATAACTACTATTAGGACATTGTTAGCATTAACTAGTATCCATAAATTAATCAGTCATCAAATGAATGCTAAGATTGCATTTTGAATGGTGATTTAAATTAAGAAATATATATGGAACAACCAAAAGAATTTAAAGTCAAAAAACAATAACATAGAGTACGTATTTTAATGAAGTAAATAGTGGCATGAGAAGTTCAATAGAGTTATACTAAATTATAAAATAAAATTTAAGTGCATATATTGCAAAGAAGATAACAACGAGCATGTGATACTTTGTTTATATGTAAATGGCATATTGATATTTGGGACAAATTTGGATTTTGTTAATGATGTGAAGAGTTATTTATAGAAAAAATAATTTGAAATGAACAATTTTAGGACAACTTTTTTAGGTGACTCCCTAAAGTTTGTTTCCTAACTCTCTCTACGAATGTTTTATATTGATATTATCGTTGAATTATATTATTATATTATAATAATTGATAATTATTTGCACACAAATCACCATTTTTTTAATAGAAACTAATTAATAAAGAGTAATGTTATTTAGCGCCAATAGTGTTTAACATCAGTTTAGGTGATAGCGAGTGACATTACATTACATTACATGTTCAATTAAATTATAGAATTTTTGGCCAGTTTAATAAAATATCACAAATTCTAAATAGCATTATTCATTAAAGGTCCTTACTACAGACTATAGATGAAAGAACGGCCAATAAAAAATCAATAATCCCAGTCCGGAAGGATAGAATGACTATATCAGTTGTTAGTTCGACCAAGTTACAAAACTCGTTATGGCGACATCACCTAGAATTGACGTTTGCATAATAACCCCTACTATGCATTTGTTTGCATTTTTAAAGGGATAAAGAAGCTTGATACTCCACAAATAAAATACCAGAATGCTTTGATGTTTCCCATAGTTTCATAGTCCTTGTCCTTAAAGTTACACTTGTATTCCCAACTTATGTTCCTTGCCTGCTTGGAAAGGCAAGCAAAACAAAACTGGTAAATTGGGAGACATACCTAACTTCTGGACATTATATTGGAATATATTCAATGTATCTTATGAGCCAAAAGCTCATTCAAATATGATGCTTAAATGGCGTGTAGGCTTATTTTTAAGCTCAAATAGAAATGAGCCAAAAGATTTTCACGATGAACTTCATTTGTTGATAATAAAATCTAGCGACAATAGTGAAAAGCCTTGTTTTATCGTTAAAATTTTTTATTTTAAAAAATATAAATAGCTACCTTTTATCCATTTTGTCTAATTCTTCGGATAGAATTTTCTTTGATCATAGATCGATAGATGATCTGTCCTTTCAAAAATTAAAAGCGCAACTAATTTAGTTCAAATGGTGCATCCAACTTTATTAGTTCAAGTGCCTGTCATCTTCAAGTTTTAAAATTGAAGGATCCAAATGTCAAAGTAAAATTAAAAGATTCCTTAGTCGTACCAAAAAAGAAACCTTCAAATAACTTCAACTAGAAGATGAAATTTGTTGTCAAATAGAAAACAAAAAAGAAATGCTAAAAAATGACTTTCGGTTGTATCAAAAAAGAAATGTCCAAAGAATTTTAATTAGATAATGACCTCATATTCACCCTCGACTCAAAAGTCCAGTGTACATACAAATCTTGAGTTGCTTAAGAGCAAAAGTCGGACTAAAGCTATACCTTCGATTTCGAATAGATAACTTGTCTATGAAAAATAAGATTATGAATTATGAATAACGAGAAATTTAAATTTGTGTTAATTGGTTAAAATAAAAAATAAAAAAAATGTATAGTAAGATTCTTCAAGTCATTTGGCACGCAACATGAATAAACTTTATTTTAGTAAAGTCATATTTTTCAAGTCACCACTGGCCGACGTAATTTGCCCAGTTCATATGACTCCTCCGAGAAGTAACCCCACTTGTCCATTAGAAATCGAATAAAAAATATGCTAAAAATCGAAAACTTTAAACACTTTAAAACGACATAAGAACCCCTCATAAATGAATATTAATGACTTCAACCTAAATCGAAATTTAAAAGTAGTATATTCACTTCAACTAATTCAACCTTGGTTCCACCATTGATTGTGACCTTTTATCCTTCCAGGTTAACGTTTGGAATAATTTTTAAAAGAGACAATTAGGCTCGACTCAACATTTTTACGTGGTGTATTACCGGGCTTAAATTTGGAACTGCGAGTTTCTTTGTGATTGAAAATGTTAATATTTACGTTAAAATCACACTCGAATTTCATGTTACTCGAAGCTCAAGAACAAAATAATTAAATAACATAACATTTCTCTCCAATTCGGATAAATGTTGCATAAAATTATAAAATCTAATGATTCCTTTAAAATGGGATCCAAAATTGACATATTTAAATAGTTGTAAGTTAAATTCTCACTTTAAATTTGAAAATATATAATCACACGTGAGCTTAAAGCTAAATTCACATTTTCAGAGCATGACTATGATTCGTATGAATTAACTCATATTTCTATATTTAGCACTGTCTAATATTTTTTTTCAGCTCAACGACCAACCATATTTCCACTATGATCCAATGTCGCAAATCACATGGCTTATCCAAGAAGAAACCACGTGTTCAAATTAGGTGAGAATGAGATTTTCCTACGCGTTGTGGATACACGGTTGCCCACTCACTTCAATGATTCTTGATTTATTACAATAACTCCAGAGAAAAAAAATGATTCCTTTCACTTACTATGTTTCAAAATGAAATCGCTTTGACCGTTTCTTCACACTCTCAGGTAAGTAAAATACAGAACCCCTCGTCGGCTTTTCTTGTTCTTCCTCTTTCTTTAAAGAATTTCGTAGCTCTTTCAAAATGGGTTTGAAATTTTGCTAGATTTTACAACTGAATTCTTTGTGTAATCTCTAGGGACTTAATTTAAAGCCCTAGACTTGTTATTTGCCGACAAGAATAATTATTTCATGAATTATCTGAAAAATTTTCTTGTGTAATCAATCACTCTCTGGTGGAATAGGTTTCTGTTTAGTGTTGAAAATGGTGAGTTTGAATCGAATTTATTGTCCTAAGCTTTTGACATTTCGAGCAATTTTCAATGGGTTTTGTGTTTTGGCTTTGTTTTTCTTAATTTCCCACCAAGAAGAAATGCTTCAAGGCCTATTTTCAAAGAAACCCTTTTCAACTCTTCCCCTCAAAACAATCTTTGACGACGGAGTAAGTGAATATGCCATTCAGGTCGAGGTTTTTCAGAGGAAAATGGTTGAAAATAGTGTGAACTCGTCGAATTACATTGTTGAGAAGGAATCTTCGGGTTTTGAGACTAATGCTTTGAGGGCAAATAGAAGTCCATCGATCTGCTCTGGAATACATGAGCATAGAGGTTACAGTACTGAATGTGAGTACTTGAAAGCCAACCCACAATGCAATTCAGGGGGTTTTTTCAATTACATCAAGTTCTTTTACTGTGATTGGGAAAAGTATAAAGCTTTGAGGTATTTGGTTCTAGTTATTTGGTTGGTAACTCTGTTTTATTTATTGGGGAATACAGCGGCTGATTACTTCTGCTGTTGTCTGGAGAAGCTCTCAAATTTATTGCAATTGTCTCCCACGGTTGCAGGGGTAACTCTGCTTCCTTTGGGGAATGGGGCGCCTGACGTGTTTGCTAGTATTGCAGCTTTTTCGGGCAACAATTCCGGTGATGTTGGGTTGAATAGTGTATTGGGTGGAGCTGTTTTCGTCACTTGTGTTGTTGTGGGAACGGTGTGTTTATGCATTGGAGGGCAAAGTGTACAAATTGATAAGAAATGTTTCATAAGGGACATGTGTTTCTTTCTCTTTGCACTTGTCTCTCTTCTTGTCATTTTGGTTGTTGGCAAGGTAAATATTGGTGGTGCAATTGCGTTTGTTTCGATTTATGTGGTTTATGTCTTTTGTGTCGCTGCAAATGAGTTGTTGAGGAAGCGCACCACGAGATCGAAGTTAGAGTCCGCCCAACTTTTGTTACCAGTTAGTGGTTGTGTGATTTCTAGTGGAAATGTTGAAGATCAATCTATTGATGCCAGTTTGCTGCAGTCTGATTCTCAGGAATTTAAGCTGGCCCACTGGATGTGGGCCTCAAACGTGGCAGTCTATTCAAATGAAGGGGTAAATGCAAGTAGTGAAGTGAATCCTGCATCTTTGTGGGGTTGGAATGAAGAGGATACGGTGGATGACAATTCGTCTCTCTCATGTTCTAAATTGTGTTCGTTGCTCGAATTGCCATTGACACTCCCGAGAAGACTGACTATTCCCATAGTTGAGGATGAACGGTGGTCAAAGACTTATGCCGTAGCCAGTGCCTCTTTTGCACCTGTGCTTTTTGCTTTCCTTTGGAACACTCAGGATAATCTGGGCTATCTAGCTAATGGTATTACGTATCTTATTGGTATTGTGGCAGGTGGCATTTTCGGCGTTCTTGCTTTTATATATACCAGAGCTGATCATCCACCTCGGAGATTCTTGCTTCCGTGGGTTATGGGAGGATTCATTATGAGTATTATTTGGTTCTATATGATCGCAAATGAGCTTGTGGCACTTCTAATGGCATTTGGTGTTATATTTGGAATCAAGCCGTCACTACTGGCTTTGACCGTCTTGGCATGGGGCAACTCGATGGGTGATTTGATGTCAAATGTTGCAATTGCGATGAACGGCGGGGATGGCGTGCAGATTGCAATTTCGGGATGCTTTGCTGGGCCTATGTTCAACACACTGATTGGATTAGGTCTCTCTTTGGTGGTTGGAGCTTGGTCCAGCAAACCAGTGTCTTACATAATTCCAAGGGATATTAGCTTGTATTGTACTTTAGGTTTTCTTGTTTCAGGGCTTGTTTGGTCACTAATCGTGTTACCACTAAGCAACATGTACCCTAATAAATTGTTGGGAGTCGGCCTAATGATCATCTACTTGAGCTTTCTCGTTTGCAGGGCAAGCCTTGCCATGGGGGACGGCTCGCTTCACGGTTCAAGTTGGCTACTGTAAATTGTAATGGTCAGTCTAGGAAGATGCGTAGAGCTAGATAAGCTAAGAACTTGGCCGATAGAACATAGTGATCATGTCAGTTAGCCCTATTAGTTTGATGACGATGAAAAACCTTGTACTGTTGTTTATATATACAATAGTTGCGGATAACATTTCAACTTATCTTTTAACAATTGCATATGAAACGAAGTTTTTCAATCACTTGCTTGCTGGTCATTTTTTCTGGGAAAGAACTTAGTGCAGTACAGAATTTTCGGACAATACCGGGGGTTTTAGCCAACAAAAGCCGGGTTATATGATTTGTTCCCGGGTTATGGAAACGATCTTGTGAAGCTGAAGCACGTAACATACTTTCAAGAACGCGATCTTAGCCAAGGATGAAGGTGTCCATCATCTGCATTCGTTTACTTGAAGCCCAGCGATTCGGACTCAAATCTCTCACTCCCAAATAATCCTCAAAAAATCCATCTCTGTCATCAATTTACACACCGTTGATAACAAGCAAACTCATCTGGAATCGGTGGTTCAGAGTTAACTCAGCAATTGGACACTTGACCATGCCGAGCATCCTGTCATATAACTCTGGCGGTGACTCGGAGGCAGAGGATGTTAGTACTTGTGCTTCTTCTTGATTTCGCGTGATTACTTCATTACTTATTTTATTGAAATCAAATACAAAAAATAATGAAGAGTTTTTCAATGGACACAAACATATATCTTAACTACACATTTACGCAGAATTCAATACAAATCACAGTCGCAATAATAATTTCTGAAAAATTATAATTTATAACCATGTTGTTAATACCGTGACACAGTGAATTTATCGTGACATTCTTCAATGTTAGTACAATTCCACTAGCATCTGGTAGATCCGTCATATATATAATCAAGAACAGCAATTACTCCAATAACAAAAGCATGATCGATTCCTGGCTTTATGGAAACATAGTATAGATCCTTGCTTTTCATCACTTGCTCCATCTCCTTCTTAACACCAATCTGCATTGACACCGTTAACAAATTGTCCGTTTATCTCTTGCTAAAACCAACATATTTCTTTATTCTTACGTTGAACTGAATATAACTCGACTGATACCTGTGCAATTGGATCGCCCCTGGAATTGACAATGCTGCAATCTTTATCAGAGAAGTCACCTATGATCTCAAAGTCGCCATAATTGCTCAACTCTTTTGACTCAATACAGATTCTAATGGAATTTTTGTTTAATAGGCACATAGTAATAGGCTCTTTCAAGGTGAATACCAGCTTCTGAGGCCCTAAAAAGTCAGTTTTGTACCCTTTCCATTTCCTTGTGATACTAACTGCTTCAACTATACCTCCCTGCAACAACAACAACAAAAACTCTTTTGATATCCATTATCCGGCATATAATCATAAACGACGATCCCACTTCAAGAAATAACGCACCTTTTGTCGTATAAGCAGCAAAGGATTTCCGTTAGCATCCCTGAGAAGAAGCTCTTCTTTTTTGCCAAGAACTCCACAGCCATCAACACTGAAAATGGGTATCTGTGTACAATCTGTAACCACAAATCCTCCTCCGTTAACCACATGTGGCCTTCTTCGAACAACCAGAACTACCTCAGATAATGAACAAAAGGCCTTGCTTACTATAGGAATCAAGCTTTGCTTTGAAGCCATTTCTTTGTGTGTCCTCTAAAAATCTTTGTTTTTCTTAGTGTCCCATAAGAGTAATCTATTTATAAAAAAAAGTGTGTATCTAAATTCAAATGTTTGGCACTATTCAAGAAACTTCTCAAATATAATATGCACTACCAACCTTGTATAGATTGTCAAACACTTAATAGGTGATGAGTTAAAGGAAGGACGAATTGGGTGGTGAACCTAAAGAATGTGGGATAGAGCAAAATTAAAACAATATGTGATTCAGATTTACGGACAAAAGCTAATTTGAAATGCCTTGTAAAGAAATTCAATAAAGGGTAACATATGCTTTTTGAAAAATTGGCTGCCTGAGAACTTCAAGGGAATATTTGGACCAATAATCTTCTCGTGATAGAATGCATGTGTAATTCCTTTAACTGATTTTGACTTTATTGAGTTGATCATTAAGACTAAGGGGTAGCTTATTGAAATTGATTTAAGTTAACGTCTCGATCATTCTTTAGTAATTGTCACATGATATTATTGATGGATTCCTTCCTCTGGTCTCACGTCCATATCCAAAGCATGACGGGTCAACGTGTCGTTCTCGCTTGATTAAAAATAAATTTTTTAATGAATTTTGATAAAAATTGATAAAATAAATGATTGAAAACTTGATAAAAATTTTGGGTCCCATAAAAATATAAACTTTAAAAGGGAAAAAAATGTTTATTTAAATTTTGCATACAGCAATGCTAAGTAGTCAGGTTTTGAGTTTGCTCCTCAATGGTCATCAATTCAAATCCCTCAGTGCCACTGAGGTTAGTATCCGACTATAAACTTCAGGGTCCCGTAGATTTAGTCGAGACGCGCGTATGTTGACTTGAACACCAGCGGTCCAAAAAAAAAAGCACACAACAATGTTAACATGAATAGTCGTAACTCGTAAGAATGCATATTAGACACATTTTACTTGTTTACTGTGTGAATATAATATAGGAAAATACTAAATATGAAATGAAGTCATAGAATCATTTTTTGTATTTAGTAAATGTCGATTTCTAAGACTAAGACGACACGGCTTGTCGAGAATTTGGGGAAATTAGAAAGACGTTTTTTGAAAAGAGTTTGGGTGGAAAATGACTATTGTGTATTATAATCATAAAGAGATGAGCTTTAATATGTTCATATTTATTGAATATTTTTTCTAGTTATATTATATTTTCTTACCTCGTTACTTCACGTATTGGGAAAGCTATAGTCCGCAATAATACATGTTTAAACAAACATTGGAGATTATTTTCTACAAAATTATCGGATGGATGAGAATGAGTGTTACTAGTCCTTTTATTTATTTATTTGTGTTAAAATCTAATTAAAGGTAAAATAGTCATTTTCTGTAGAATATGACCTTCTAGAAGTCGTCCAATAAGGATTATTGGTACACACATTTGAAGTGTTTGACACTGTCGTAGAAATAAATATTTGAGACACCAAGAACACGGGCATAGTCTAGTGGTGCAAAGAACATGAGTGAAGTTATCTCACGTCTTGTTGACAGTCGCAGTGTGGGGGTTCGATTCCTGAGACATGGAATTGAACTCCTTGTAGACACAGTGTACAGGTAGCTCTTGTTCTCTGACTTGTTGGAGCACATCCCGCGATTTACCTCCCTCACAAAGTTCTAGGGGCGGAATGGTGGGATCCTCAACGTTGGGATTCAACCTTTTTTTTTTTTTAAATATTTGAGACACCAACGTCATGACCTTCAAATGTTCAGGATCCAAGTACGATTTATGCATTTAAATTTAGTCCATGTTTAGTTCAAATAAATTTTAATTTATTAATGGATTATTATAAAATTGGATTGAATATTTGGTTGTAAAGTTGTGAATCTCATAAATCATACGATTAAAACTAATTATTAAACTTTAATTTAAATTTTAATTACCTTTTTAATTGTACCAAATAGGGGCCAAAAAATTATTAAAGGAGAAACACATGTATAATAATTTATTTTAAAATAAAATGTATATTTAGAATTTTGTTATTTTGCCCGAATGGTTAACATCCTCTCAAACCGTGAATTTGGCAAGAATAAAAAATTTCAAAAAAAAGTAGGGTCCACATCATTGCCAAAGTCAGTCACCCTCTCTGTCAAAAAAATTATCGTACTACTTAATTGATCAAAAAGTCCAATCCAGTTCAGGCCATCCCTACCAGCTCGACCCGTTCAATCACTGGCTCAATTCGGCCTGTACTTGACCTGGACAGTGCTAGGCCCGATTATAAGAAAAAATCAGAAGCCCGAAAACTGTAAATAGTAAAAACGAGGATAATGGTACAATTAACAGCACGGTCATTTCTCTATCCTACACAGCAGTCACGTGTAATCTGATTCACGATGTTCCCCTTCCCCACTCCATAAATAGACTCTCTGCCATTTCTGCACGCCTCTCTCTCTCAAATTCTTTCTCAGTAACCCCTTTCCAAACAAAGCCTCTTCAATTATTTTTTTCATTAAGCCTTCTTCTGACAACTTTATAAATTATATCACTACTATATAAAAATGCAATATTTCACTATTGTATAAAGAACAATAGATTTTTCCATTTTATCTCACTATAGCTTTTTTTTTTTTTTTATTGAGAGAAAGCAACGACGTCGTTTCTCTTACGTGTTTGATACAGTGATTTTGTTGTTTTTTCTCAATTTAGGCGGCATGGAGGATTATGTCTTAGAACCCTATTTACTTTTTCTCCATTTTTGCACGTTATGCCTCTCTATTTCTCCACACTAATTATTTCTCTCTCTCAAATTCTTTCTCAGTAACCCCTTTCCGAACAAAGCCTCTTCAATTATTTTTTTCATTAAGCCTTCTTCTGACAACTTTATATATAAAGAAAAAAGTCGATAAATTTTACGAAATGCATGAATAATAATAAATAATACTTATGAATATTGATTGAAATTAATATTTATTTTTTAAAAATAAATTTATAGATCACGCTTGCCAAATAGAGGCTTATTGGGTTGGACCTAGGAACTTGCACAACTTTTAAAAGAGGTTCGATTGTTTTCTATCTTCTATGGAGTCGACCCAATACATTCAATGTGGATAAATCTAATCGCCACATTGGTCATTTGGTGGAAGTGACACTTTGAGGTTAGTAGTTTATCTCGGGTGGATGTCTCCTAAAAAGAACTAGAGGCGTGCCAAAATAGGCTCAAGTTGAGATTTTGTTTGTAAATGTGATCGTATAATCCTGCCTGAATGTGTGACAAACTAGATCTGGACATTTTAATCAAAATCTAATCAAAATTGGAGGTTTCAGTCCGATTTCAAAAAATAAATTAGAAACAGGAATCGAGTACTGAGAATTGATTAGACCTCGGTTGATTTTTGGTTCTTGAACATGAACCTTTGGTATTGAAATGGAACTATTTTGATATAATTTTTTTATTTTTCACAATTCATAGGTTGGGTTAAGAAGATTCAAACTCTAGAAACTCTAATTTAGGTAGTAATTTTCATAAACATCACTTGCCCTTGTATCGCATTGTTGTATTTCTAAGGTTAGTACATGTTAATCTTTGCAACTCTGACTTTCTATAAACCAAAAGTTAGGATTGTAGTGTAAATTGATGAATCAAAACATTCATTATTTGCAGTTTAGGCCTTTTATTTTCTTACATTGTTTACAAACTTAAGTGATTTTCTTATTTTTTATAATGCGTGGTAAATGAATTTGATATATTCATAGTTCGAGCTGTGGCATATCTTTTTAATTATTTTGAGTTAGTGATTCTCTTTTGAAATATAGTTTTTCCTTTTTATTCAAATTAAGCAATTTCAATATGTCGACTGCAGTTTTCTTGAAACTACATAGTTGCTTTTAATTGATATTTTTTTTTATGTTAGTTGGCTTTAAGAGTGAAAAATTTAAATACTATCCAAAATTAATTTTAGGCTTTAATATGCCTCGCTCATGGATTAAATAAGATTTATTGAGAAAAATCATTTTGTTCTCAAACTGTAATTTTCTTCTTGATATTTTAATTGTTTCCCTCTTTTATTAGCATTTCTTCTCCACTATCTTAACTCATATAACTGAATTTCTTAGAGTCATTTAATTTGTCATTTTGACTTTATTTTCAGTTTTCAAATTTCAAAAATACTCAAAACGTGTTTGGTATGTTATTTTCAAAAATGCGATTTTGAAAATAAGGAAAATTTTATGACACAAAACGACTTTTTGACGTTTTAAGTGTTCATTCACAACAAGGAAAATGAGCTTAAAATTTTTTTAAATTAAAATAATTAATAAAATCACACAAAATTTACCCAAATGCAAATACCCCCCCCCCCCAAAATCACTATTTATAAATGTTTTTAAACCAAACGCGTTTTCTAATTTTTTGTTTTGAGAAACAGGTTTTCAGAATAACAAATCAAACACTTTTTCTGTAACCTTAAATAATCCCTCAATACCTAAAATGGAAAATGAATTTAAAATTGAAGATAGAAAACATAAATATTGATACACCTATCGAAAGGATCTATGTAAAAATAAATATATATAAAAATGAGATTGGTAGAAATGAACCTGAATTGAAACTGACAGTTTGAGTTTAGTTTCAGTAATTATAAGAATTTAAATGGTTATATTTATGAAACACTTGAAATATAATGGGTTATTTCGAGTATTGAAATCTTGGACTGATCCACCCAAGGCCCTAGATCTATGACAAACTAATCAAACAGAGATGAAAGCTCACCATAATGACCGAAGATTCTTGTGTGGAAAGGCCATCAAGGCTCAGTCTGAAGTAGCCTATTCTGTTTGTATGTTAACTAATTCAACATACGTATATTATTTTAATTATCGAGTTCATTCAAATAAAAATTTATCAAACAATGAATAAAATTTGAAAGTTGTTACGTCAAACTCATACATGACCAGTCCTCTTCACATAACATGAGCTATTGAATCCACATAAAATCATTCAAAGGTCAATTGCTTCTTGCATTAAGCAGCAAAAACCTCTGGGTTATATTTCTCATATTAATTTTTCATTCTCATAAGCCCCATAAAACAGTAAATTATATACATAGGTTCGACGTGGGTGAAATAAGTTACCAATTATGTATGTATAGTTGTTGTACTGGCAGTTCTGTCATGGTTTGCTGTGATAGTGGCTGTCTGGCAGAACTTTCAAGGTCTGAGCTTTTTCTGGGTCTGCACCCCGAAATTATTACCTCGAAATTATCCCAAAAGTCATAAATCCCAGTAATAATTTCCCTTCTTGTTTCCTTGCAATTTTCAGTTTTCCATTTTTATTACCCACCCATATTTGATTTTTACCCTCTTTGCCTGTCCTTTTTCCCAATATTGATTAGTGTTCAGTGTTTATAAAGGGGAAAAAAGAAAAAATTGGTGTAACAAACATTGAAGAAATGGGTGATTCAGTCGGCACTGGTACAGTGCCACCTCTCCCGCCGCCACTGCCCAAGTCGCCGCCGCAGTACCCAGATTTGTATGGGAAACGTCGAGAATTAGCCAAGGTTCAGATTCTGGAAAGAGAGATTAGTTTTCTTGAGGTGAGTTTGAAGTTCATTCCAACGTTGATAGTGCCATGTATTTTCTTCTCATTTAAAACTTCTAACTCACATGTATAAGCTACTAAATAGAATTTATAATTCAACGGGGTTTTAATTGGAAAGGAAAGTGATGAATTAGATTATTTTTAGTTTCAAGCTTCGAATATAGTGTACTAGTTGCATGCAACTTGAATTCAGATATGCTGTGTGTATATATTGAACACCTCGTCGTCTAAAAGGTTAAGCTCTCCTCAGAGAGGAACAGATATACACTTGTCCCGTGCGGGCAAGATTGCCATTTCGTCATAGGCTTGACACGAACCCAATTTTTATAAATGGGCAGTGGCGAGTTACACTTAGTGTTGGAGTGAAGTTGGTGGGCTCGAATTAACATTCTGATCCTATTGATCATGCTGTTATGCTGTTCTAATCCATTCAGGTAAATCTGCAAGTGTAAGTATCTTCAGATTGTTTGAAAGAGGAAATTATACCCCAGAAAAGTTAGAACATCTGATGGCTTGCTCTGATGATTCCATGTTGAACAATTCGTTTAAAATTTGAGTTGTTAGAGGGTGGACAAATGTAAAAGGATAAGACAGCTATCAATCAAGTACTTTGATTAGAGCAGTTACTCAATAGTGATCTGAATTGAACTCTGTTCAACCATGATCAACTTCATACGTAAATGGACGGATATTTATCTAAAGCAGTCTAGTTTTGTTAATTTTGAGGACGAGTTGGATGCTGTTGTCAATCTTGAAAGGAAGATTATTGTATTGCATAGATTATATGTTATTATTCATAACTCTGCGAACAAGCCGGACAATGTGCACGGTGAAACAATATTTTCCAGTTAGTAATTTTCTAGCCTGCATTTTCAATCCATTTCTGATTTATCTTTGTTTGTCTGATGCCTGTGTCCATTGGTTTAAATTTTACATAGTGTCAACAGTGCTCAGACATCGTATCAAGTGGTGTTTTGTGTATTGTCAAAGATTGCTTGAGATTATGTTAATTATGCTTGTAATCATGTTTTTGTCACGCAGTGTTTTGACTTGCTTATTAGGCAGTATTTGGTTGGTATTAAGCGACAAATTATAAGGTACAAATTATAAGAACCTACTTTGTGAAGTGTGTGTTTTTGTTTCCGTAAAGCACAACACAAAAAACAACGGGATTTCTTAGGACCTCACTCTAATCTTTTCTAGCCTCGGTGAGATAGCCAACCCTCTTCCTGTGCTGTAATGATGCTTGACTAGAAAACAAGGATTCTAGGCCAAGCCAAGTAATCGCGTAATATAGGGGTGTAGATTGATTGCATACCTGTTTCGATAGCCATCCTTCTTTCTCTCAAGATCCTTGCTTCCAATGTTCTAAATAATATACTGATCAAAGAATGTAAGGGCAGACCGCATTCAGCCACACTGCAATGACGATAGCAGTCATCTTCTTTTAGTTGTGAGATGAAACCCGACATCTTATTTCTGGTTCTGAATAACCAGCCTTTTTAGGTCCCCTTGAATTTTTAGTATTCTTGTTGGCTGAATTCCATCCAGCTTTCTTGCGTGGATATCGCTAGTATTCCTCTTGCTAGCTGCGTAACTTATCTCACATTAACTGATTTTACAGAGTGAATTTATAGGTTCAATCAGATCAGCACATTACCTTTGCTTCAATTCATCATAACTAATGTTATATGGAAAATACTGTAGACTTTTTTACTGCAAAATGCATTTTACATTTCAAATGTTGACATCCCTTTGTCATTCTTCTCACATGAAGAGAAATGTGAATTTATGCTGCCAATATGCCTCTTTTGATTGGGAATTGGACGTGTATAGACTCTAGTTTTGGATAAAACTAAAGTTACATAAGCAAAGCTTTACAAATTTATTTAACTTGTGACAGTTAATAAAATTAATTACCCTCTTTCTATCAGGTTTATTGTTCCATTGTTTGTCAATGACTGAAGAATGCAGTTTCGTCTATTTTATGAATATCTTAATTTTCTATAAACGGAATCTCATCTGAAAATTTATTGCAAACAGGAAGAATTAAGATCAGTCGAAGGCCTTCTACCTGCTTCACGATCCTGTAAAGAGTATGTCAAATTTTGCTTTTCCAAGAATGCTTTAACTGATGTTTTCTTGCAACTAAACGAACTTAATGACTTTCAGGATTGCAGATTTTGTAACTGGGAAGTCAGATCCTCTTATACCTATGTAAGAAAAAAACATCAACCATCTTTTCGATGGACCCTGATTGATAATCTCCTATCTTCTTGCTCTCATTCTTTGATTTTTGTTTTCGATTCTTAAAACCAGAACGAAGAAAGTTCGCAGATCTTATCGCTTCTGGAAATGGCTCTGGTATGTCCTGCTAATCACTTTCCATTTATGGAGTATTCTTATTCAAGTTTTACTTAGAAATACATAATTTGGAGAGGATTTTAGTTCGAGTACTATGTAACACAAGTTATTTTGTCTCTCAGTGGAATATCCTGTTTCAACCTTTCATTGATTTGCTGTTGTCCTAAATGTCCTCATCTTCATATGCCACACTGTTGCAAGTGCAATTTGTGTAATCTCGACTCGTGCATCAGCTGTCCAATGCCCAAGTACCACTGTTCGTCGTCCTGTTTAAATACTCAATGCTGTAAAATGTCTGATTGTAGTTGTAGACGGCGTTGCTGCATTCCGAAATGTCCGACCTGCTCGGTTTGTTTTTGTTGCATTCCCAAATGTCCGACTTGCTCGGTTTGTTTTTGTTTTGCCAGAAGATGTACATGTTGTTATCCTAAATGTCCAAAGGTAAATATTTGTTCCTGTTGTGACAAGAGCTGCTGCTACTCTTGCTACTTGTGTTGCTAGTAATATATTCTGCAATAATTTTAAATGTAAGCTTGATATTATTATAAATAAAAAATTTATTCTGTGTACTTATTGAGTATATACGTTTTCCTTCATTTCATGCTAGGATTTTCAAAATCTTTTGTTTTTACGTGTTCATACGATTGAGTTCTTGAATTTGCAAAATAACGTAAAAAGAAGCGTTTGAATCATTGTTATTTGATTTTGACATGTTCTAGAAAAGATGAGGTATTTGGAATGCTATGAATTAATCTTGACATTTTTCGTGCGCTTCTAGTTTAATAATCAAATTTTCAAATTTTATATATTTTAAATTCCGAATTGATTTTACCTTAGAAGTCATTGGAATCAATTTACGTAAAACGATGCTCCAAAAAAAGAAATTCACTTTCCTCTTTCAAAACGTCGAAGCTGATTATGTTACAAATAAATATGACTTATTATAATATTAAGTGAACTCAACAGACAGGAAGTCGCTTTGGCCGAGTGGTTAAGGCGTGTGCCTGCTAAGTACATGGGGTTTCCCCGCGAGAGTTCGAATCTCTCAGGCGACGATTTCCCTTTTTATGTTCCTGTTTTTCAAATTTTCTCAATTGAGGTGGAGCTTGATTTCTTGACTAGACTGAGAAAATAAAAAATAAAACAAAAAACACAGAACAAATGAGAGGAAAATTAAAAATTTCTAATATTTATTCAATGTTACTTTTATGTCACTAACTTTTTTTCATCATATACTTATCATGAACTTTCCATTAATTGGCAAATCTTTTTCCAAATGATAAATCTTCATCGATAAATCTTGTTAGTGAGTTTTAAAATGATTGACAAATATTTAATTGTAATTTATATTTGTTGCTCTCTGCTTATTCAAAATACGATCGACGATTAAGTTTTTTTACTACCTCATAATGAATTTTTATTTTTATTTTTTTATTTTGAAGACATGTATAACGAGTAAAGAATATGAACTTCTTACGTAACTAAAATTTGGTACAATTACAAGAAGATGTGTGTTGAATCTTGGTGTCGAAAATGAGCCAAGATACCGCATTGCGTATGTGTAACTGTTCGATTAATTACCACCTCAAAAACTCGATCGAAACTGGTGGCATTCTTGGAGCCATAAATGGAGACTAGGCTGGACAGGCATAAAGAAGGTGTAGTGTGGGTGGCACAGGCTTTCTTGATGAAGGGATGTAGCCAGATTAATGGTGGGAATAGAATCAAAAGTTTATAATCAATTCTTGATGATGATGAAGTTGTTGGAGTTGGTTCAAATAAATAATTGAAAATTGAAAAATGAAAAGGTGTGACTTCGTGCCAACTTCAACCAAATATTCGGACTTGATCCGATGGTTAAATTACAAAAGTAAATAGACTAATTTATTCTACTCGTCGAGTAGATCATTGTAGTATATTTGGAATCTCGAAATCAATTTCGGATGAATGAGAAATTACGGTCCAAAATTGAAAAAAATGAAGTGTTGCAACCTTTCGAAAGGTTGCAGAATTTGGCCAGGTGTTGCAAATTTTCGAAAGGATGCATATTTTGACTCACACCACTTCATTTGCACCCTTTCTACATTTATAAATAAGACCCTATGACATGATTTTGGGTACACAAATTAGATTGAGCATTCATTCTCCTCTTGTAAATATCTCATTTCTATTTCTATAGCATTTCATGCATTTCATTTGTAGAGAGAAAATTCTGTCAAAAGTTCGCCAGTTTCTTGTGGTTTGAAGTGCTGCTACCACAAGTTGTGAATCCATTGTATTTTAAAAGATAAATGTCATTCACCGTGAGCAATGTAGTGGGGTAATTTGTCTTAAAGAAAGAGATAACATCTCACCTTATATTATTATCTATTTTCTACTCCTTCTTAATTCTTGTTTTACGTAATCGTTTACCACATTGTATATACCAAAACTTTGTCCAAATTTTCATATAAATTGTGTTTTGATCACACTCCTACGGGTTAAAACTGGTCGAACAAATATATCAAAACCAACCCTTATATAGCCCGTTTCTTTAAGTCGTCTCTAACAAATTTAAGACAAATTTTTTATGCCTTTGTGGTTGGTTGTGGACAACAATTACTGTGTTTGAATAGTGCTTTGTGTACTATTCATCCATCGATATTATTATCATTTTGTTGAACTTCTGTTTATATAACAGAAATGACTACCATCAGGACTTCGTCAAGTGAAAATAGTTCCAATAATGTGGTATCACTCGTAGCCATATCATTGCATAATACTACTATCCCATATAGGGAAAAGTTGAAAAAATTTGTAGGAGTAGACTTCAAGAGGTGGCAACAAAAGATGTTGTTTTATCTCACAACTCTTAATTTGGCTAAATTTCTAAAGGAAACTGCACCGGCTGTACAAGAAGGGGAAAATAATTGTGAATCGATTATTACTTTGGATGCATGAAAACACTCGAACTTCCTATGTAAGAACTATATCCTAAACGGATTGGATAATACACTATATGGGGTGTATAATTCAAAGGAATCAGCGAAGGAACTATGAGATTATTTGGAGATAAAGTACAAGACCGAGGATGCCGGAACAAAGAACTTCATTGTCAGCAAATTTTTGGACTACAAGATAGTGGATTCCAAAACCGTGATTAGCCAAGTGCAAGAGATTCAAATCTTGTTGCACGACATCCATGCCGAGAAAATAGAATTGAGTGAATCATTCCAAGTGGTTGCCATTATTGAGAAACTCTCTCCTATGTGGAGAGATTTCAAAAAGTACCTTAAGCACAAACACAAGGAAATGAATTTGGAAGAATTGATTGTGCGCTTGAAGATTGAAGAGAACAATTGAAAAATCGAACGAAGGTTGGTTGATCAAGATGGTGCAAATTTTGTTGAAATGGAACCACAAAGGCAACAAACAAGAAACGAAAGGCTCTTAATTATGCACCGCGAAGAGAAAATTCCAAAAAGACTAAGAAGTTCAAAGGGAATTGTTACAACTGTGGCAAGGCTGGACATCGTTCAAGTGAATGTCAAAAGTCAAAGAAAAATGCTCAAGCCCACATGGTTGCAAATAACATTCTATCCGATAAACTACAATAAATGAGTTTATCTACAGTAGTATTCGAATGCAATATGATTGGAAATACTAGAGAATAGTGAATTAACACCGGCACTACCCGTCATGCATGTGAAGACAAGACGATGTTCTCCAACTATTAAGAATTGAATGGGGGAACAACTATACCTAGAAAAATTTTGCAAGTTCCAAAGTTGAAGGACAAGGCAAAGTCATTTTGAAGATGACATCCGGGAAAGAACTCGTCCACAACAATATCACGTCTCTACTTAGCAAGAATGATTTTAAACTTGTATTTGTATCCGATAAAATTGTGTTGTCTGAGAATGAGATGTATATGGGGAAATGATACATGTGTGATGGAATGTTCAAGTTGAATGTTCTTACAATTGTACCGAAACAAGTCGTTATGAATAAAACTATAAATTCATTTTACTTGCTTAAGCCTTTATATTTGTGGCATAATCAATTAGAACTTGTGAATTACAAATCGTTGCTCAAACTAATGAATCAAAGTTTAATTTCGACGAATAAAATCAATCCTAATCATAAATTTGAAATATGTATTGAAGCAAAATTGGCTAAAACACTGTTCTATTCAATACAAAGGAACATAACCCCTTTTGAATTGATCCATAGCGATATATGCAATCTAAAATTTGTACATACTTAAGGTGGTAAGAAATACTTTGTGACATTTATTGATAATTTTACAAAGTTTTGCTATATCTTTCTTTTGAGAAGTAAAGACGAAGCCTTAGATGTATTCAAAATCTATAAGGTTGAAGTTGAAACACAACTTGAAAAACGAATAAAGAATATTCGTAGTGATAGAGGAGGTGAATATGGGGCACCGTTTGAAGACTTTTGTTCTGAACATGGAATTGTTCATCAAACAACGACACCTTACTCTCCTCAATCAAATGGTATTGTAGACCGTAAAAATCGAACACTTGAAGAAATGATGAATTCCATGTTAAGAAGTTCGGGTTTACCTCGGAACATGTGGTGGAGACTATTTTAACAGCAAATAGCCTTCTTAATAAAATACCTCGTAAGAAAATAGAATAGACACCATATGAACTATGAAAATGTCATCCTCCATCCTACCAATACTTGAAAGTATGGGGTGTCTGGCAAAGGTTGAGGTACCTAAGTCTAACAAGTGAAAATCGGTCCTAAAATGATAGATTGCATATTTATTGGATATGCCAATAATAGTAGTGCATATTGATTTCTTGTACACAAATTCGAAATACAAGATATACACGAAGGGACCACAATCGAATCAAGGAATGCGACATTCTTTGAAAATATTTTTCCTTGTAAAGATAAGAAAAATACGAGTTCTAACAAAAGAACATATGAAATTACCAGTGGAACTTCGAATGAGGAATATCCAAAGAATTTCGATGAAGCAATGTCTACACCGGAAGCATCGCATTGGAAAGAAGCCCTCAATAGCGAAATAGATTCTATAATGTAAAATCATACGTGGGAGTTGGTTGATTTACCTCCCGATAACAAGCCTTTAGCAAATGGATATTCAAAAAGAAATTGAAACCTGATGGATCCATTGATAAATATAAGGCCAGATTGATTGCTAAAGGATATAGACAAAAAGAAGAACTTGACTTCTTTGATACCTACTCAATCGTAACTAAAGTCACGTCGATAAGGTTGTTAATTGCAATTGCGGCAATACATAATCTTGAGATGCATAAAATGGATGTAAAAACGGCATTTCTAAACGGTGAGTTAGAAAAAGAGATTTACGTGCAGCAATTTGAAAGGTTCGTTTCTCCTAACCAAAAACACAAAGTTTGTAAACTTGTTAAGTCCTTATATGGATTAAAACAGGCTCCTAAATAATGACACCAAAAGTTTGACAAAACAGTGTTTTCAAATGGATTCAAGATCAACGAATGTGATAAATGTGTATATATTAAACATACACCGAATGCCTATGTAATTGTATGTTTATACGTAGACGACATGTTAATAATGGGCAATAGTCACGAAATGTTGCTTAACACCAAAAGGATGCTAACAAAGCATTTCGATATGAAAGATATGAGTGTGTCAAATGTAATTCTAGGGATTAAAATCTCTAGAACGCAGGATGAAATTGTACTTGCACAATCTCACTATATAGAAAAAGTACTTAAGAAGTTTGACGTATTTGAGGAAAGTCCTGTGAGAACTCCTCTTGATCCGAGTATGTACTTAGTCAAGAATGTAGGAGAAAGCATATCTCAACTAAGGTATTCACAAATAATTGACAGTCTTATGTAAATACAAACTGAACTCGATTGGATATTGCTTTTGCGGTAAATAAACTTAACAGATTTACAAGTAATCCAAACAATGATCATTAGAAGGCTTTGAAGAGGGTTCTAAGGTACTTGAAGTATATCTTAACCTATGTATTACACTTCACAAAATATCTTGTGGTACTAGAAGGATATTGTGATGCGAATTGGATATCTGATATGAAGAATTTCAAGTCCACTAGTGGTTATGTATTCACCATTGGTGGATCTGTTGTATCATGGAAATCAACAAAGCAAACGTGCATAGCTTGATCAATGATAGAATCTGAATTTATTGCTTTGGACAAAGCTAGAGAAGAAGCAGAATGACTTCGAAATTTCTTAGAAGATGTTCCATATTGGCCCAAGCCGGTACCTGCGATAGTCAATCGACAATTGGAAGGGCTCGAAGCAGCATATATACTGGTAAGTCTGGAAATATTCATCGTAGACACAACACTATTAAGCAACTGATCTCAAATGGCATGATCTCCATAGATTATGTGAAATCAAAGGAAAATATTGCGGATCCACTAACAAAAAGTTTACCTAGAGATCAAGTACTTTACCTATCGAGAGAAATGTGATTAAAGCCTACTACGTAAAAGTTTTTGCAATGGTAACCCTACATTGTTGACTGGAGATCCCAAGATATTGATTCAAAGGGATAACTAAGTTGTGAAAATTCCATGAAGCACTTAGGAAATTAGAATTCCTAACTCATTCTTATAATACTAAAGTGTTTTCTGCAGAGTGGATAGATGTTAAGATTATCTTTTAATGATTCATATTTCTTGATTAAGTCAAGTGGAGTATGGCAGAATACTCTTAATAGGAGGTCACCTATGTAAGTGTGAAGTGGGGCCGCTTCGATGAGGATTGTTTAAGGTTTGAGTTCTCTAAACACTTATGAAATCGAGAAGGGTTTAGGGCCAAAATGAACCAAGTCATGAGAACTAAGTACAGAATATGGAAGATATCATGTGAGTACTGTTGTCTTGACTTACACCAAAGACTGAGTGGTTCAAAACCTATGGTTCACCAATTAGCCGAGTAAGTATGATAGTATTTCACTAAGGGAGGTTCAAGGCCAAAAGCCACCATTCCTGATACAGTATTTTTTCGCTCCCTCTCTACATTGTATCATATCATCGCATTTACATATGCGTACCCAAATTTCCATTCATGTGGGGGATTGTTGGAATTTGTTCGAATAAATAACTGAAAATTGAAAAATGAAAAGGTGTGTAAAAGTAAAAAATGAAAAGGTGTGACTTCGTGTCAACTTCAACCAAATATTTGAACTTGATCCGATGGTTAAATTACAAAACTAAATAGACCAATTTATTCTACTTGTCGAGTAGATCATTGTGGTATATTTGAAATCTCGAAATCAATTTCGGATGAGTGAGAAATTACGGTCTAAAATTGGAAGAAATGAAGTGTTACAATCTTTCGAAAGATTGCAGATTTTGGCCAAGTGTTGCAATTTTTCGAAAGGATGCATGTTTTGGTTCACACCACTTCATTTGCACCCTTTCTACATCTATAAACAGGACCCTATAGACATGATTTTGGGTATACCAATTACATTGAGTACTCATTCTCCTCTTGCAATTTTCTCCTTTCTATTTCTCTAGCATTTCATGAATTTCCTTTGTAGAGAGAAAATTCTGCCAAAAGTTCGTCGGTTTCTTGTGGTTTGAAGTGCTGCTACCACAAGTTGTGAATCCATTGTATCTTGGGAGACAAGTGCCATTCACTGTGAGCACCGTAGTGGGGCAATTTGTCTTAAAGAAAGAAATAACGTCTCGCCTTAAATTATTATCTATTTTTTACTCCTTAATTCTTATTTTGCGTAATCGTCTACCACATTATATATACCGAAACTCTGTCCAAATTTTCATATAAATTGTGTTTTGATCACACTTTTGCGGGTTAAAACTGGTCGAACAAATATATCAAAACCAACCCTTACATAGCCCATTTCTCTACGTCGCCTCCAACAGAAGTTGATCATGGATTCTTGAAAAGTAGAGCAATACGTAGGGCCACAATTGGGAGATATACAATGAGAATTGTGGTTTTTCTTCGAGTTTTTGCTAGTTACTTGATGAATTGAGAAATCTTGATGGCATTTCTTGGTTCCATTTCTGTCAGAAAAAATTAACAGAAACAGATGATGAAGGTAAAGTTCTGGAAAAAGATAACTGAGAGAAATTTATTTTTTTGGAAAATAGGCTACTTGGTAACTCATTCAATTTTTCAGTCGATTAAATGATAGTTAATTGAATTTTCTCACTTGTCTATCAAGAACTCTAAATCTTCTACGCTAAAGTGGTATCAGAGCTAGGATTTAACAGAAGACACAAAAATTGTTTGTCCAATCATATAATGCATAATAAAAGAAAGTCTCGCAATTATAACTTAAAACTAAAACTGAAAACAGCCTTGTCATTTCACAGTCTCTACTGTCATTTTATTAAAACCTCATAGAAAACTTCAATTGGACACTCCCCATGCTTGCCATCTTTTGATCTGTGACCAGTCTACTCGTCAACTGCCTGGGGAACACCTTCAGCCTGAAATAAATTTACAAACAAGATGTAGAATATACTTTATCAGCAGAGGATCTAAAAAATTGTGAATTTCATGAAAGAGGGAAAAAGGAATAAAGGAACTCACCAGCTTGCGATATTTGAGGGCATAAAACATTTCAAGATATCGTCTGATCTCGAGACGATCAAGCTTGGAAACGTACTTCCAGAATCCGTAAACTCCAGCCAGCGTCAATAGCCTGTCTGAGTAAATTTGCCATGTGTACCTACAGAAACGAGAATGTTTGAACGATCAATTGGTGATCAGAGAATTGTTTATGGGGTCTTCAATTACAATACTAAAGTACGTTGCTTACTTCTCCTGGATGCGTTTTAGACCACCCATCGAGATGGTTTCCCAATAGGAAGGATCTTGTTTAGACCTTTCAAAGAAATTGACAAGGAGCTCGGCCACATGCTCCCCCTGGTAAGGATCGATGTGGAAACCGGACTTTCCATGGACAATGATCTCGGCTGGACCACCATGGACCGTTGCAAAGGTTGGCAAACCACAGGTCATGGCCTCGACTACTGTCAAACCGAAGGCTTCATAAAATGCAGGTTGCACAAAAGCTCCTCTTGTGTCAGCAATATAACGATAGAGTTCACCATTTCTCACGCGGTTCATCTGAGAAGAAATCCATCTGAATTGGCCATTCAACTTGTACGTTTCTATGAGACTATACATTTTCTTCATTTCTGCCTGCTCTTCCAAGTCCTTGGATTCTTTCCTTCGATCACCTCCAACCACAACAAGATTTACCAATTCCCTAAGTTTCGGGGACTTGGCATACCATTCCACAAGTCCAGTTAAGTTCTTCACACGGTCCAATCTTGCCATGGTAAATAAGATAGGCTTTTTCTTGTCCTTCAGCACACATCTATCAGGTACAATATATAAACGAGAGTTTTCTCACGTGTACGACACAAACATTTAGAAGAAATTTGTAAAGATAGGGACTTACAGGTGTTCTTCGTTCTCGACCTCGCTGTAAAGAAGCTCCTCAATTTCAGGATGAAGCGATGTGAGTCTCTTTTCTTTCTCTGTATATGGATAGTAGAGATTCATATCAGCCCCAGGAGAGACGATGTTAAATTTTGGGTCGAAAACATCAATTCCATGGACAACGCGGTACAATCCAGGCATTGTGAAGGCCATGTGGCTCTCATACTGCCCAACAGTGTCCTTACTGAAAAAACAAAATCAGCAGAAATTTAGGACATGTTTGGTGTATTGTACAAGGTAACAGACCAGATTTTTAACTTGTTTTCCTTCTTAATCCTACATCATAATGACGGTTTAAGCAAAAAATTATATGTCAGATATATGTTAATAAATACGTACTTTCCAGCTATCTCTTGGAATGTGCTAGTGATAATGAAATCAGTATGATTCATTGCAATAAGATCGGCAGTAAACTGACACGAGAAGTGATATTTCTCGTCAAATTTTTTCCAATAAATGTCGGAATCGGGATATTTTGTTTTCTCCAGTGCATGAGCAATAGTACACTGTGAAAGATGGCGAAGGACACAAGTCCAAAATTAGTCTCCGGCTTGTGAGTTGAAGCAAATTTTGTTAAAATAAGTAGATGAAAAATTGTGGGCTGTAGCAGATACCTGTGTTACTCCTAATTTGTGAGCAAGCAGTGAGGCTGCAAGATTGCCCTCACTGTAATTACCAATGATCAAATCGGGTTTCGCCTGCAACTCTGCTATAATTTCTTTGGCAACATCCTAATGAAACCAGCCACTGAAAACTTAGGATTTGAAAAATAACAAAAAATTAAGAATTGTCAAGAGAGAGTTCTCTCACCTCAGTGAACGTCTCCATATATGGCCAGACCTCAAAACGAGAGATCCATTTACGAACAATTCCCTTATCAGTTCTAAAGGGGACTCGAAGTATATGAGAATGCTCTGTTCCAAAAACTTTCTCGAGGCGTTGACCGCAAGTGGTTCCAACTGCATCTGGAAGTAATCGAGTCACCTATAGACAGCAGGATACATCATTAGAGTAAGAAACAAAGATGAATTTCATCACTTAAACATGTTAAGTACAATCAACAAGTATTTAGCTTCTTTGTCTTGATTAGTACTGTATATTAGTGTTTGTCCATCTTACCAAACAAGTCGTTAATGAAAACAATTCTAAGGGTACTAACAATGAGAATACGCGGTTTGATATCGAGTCCTTGCTCTTTTATTCGTTTAAGCATCTCACGCTCCAAGGCAGGAACTTGATCCAAAATGTATACAACCTGAAAATTTTGGAATACTTGAATACATGTATGAGGAATTGGGACAGAAATTTGAGATCATTGGTCTAGAATGCACCTGGCCACCAGTGTCGGGATAGCCTAACACATTTTCTTGAGCAAAGTAACCATGAGGAGAAAGAATAACAACATTGAAAACCATAGGGATTCTTCCTAGGAATTTCTCAAGAGTGCAGGAGTCGGGAGCCTGTAGAAGATCGAGAAGCAAAGATATCATCTCAGAAACTCGTTCAGCATTATCACCCCATCCTCTCTCCAATCCGATCTCTTGGAACTTGTGTTCAAATTCCAAGTATGGTGTTGGTGAAGGAAGCGTTGATAGATATTCCTCTGCCTTCCTCAGAACCACTTGGAGAGAATTTAGGTTCTGTATTCTGTCATTAAGCATCATTGTCTGCGAAAAAAATTTAGTAATCAGACTTTACTAGGATTTATAGTCACATATTAAAGTCGAAAATGTGGATATCAAGTTCACCTTGCCCTTATAGTGGTGCATTCGTAGGAAATCAAGAAGAGGGGTCAAGCTATCTCTGTCATGGAACATCTTAGCAGAGAGGTGCCTGTTGAGGAATTCGACTCCATTTCCAATGGACTTGGTAAGGGTTGGACGAGGGAACGATGCAGTAAATGGTTCAAAGTCCAACTCAAGAACAAAGTTACCATTGGAGCTGCATTAGCATAAACAGTATTGCTCAGGAAAATTGAGGAGACATGCACAAAAAAATAATTCAGGATCGAAACTTACGTTCCATCGACAAGCTCTTCTTTGAAGTGCAGATACTCGGGCACAGTCAGTTCATCAACAACAAGTGCATTAACATTGACTCGTACGTATTCCCAAACCCCCGGCCTTAGGCGAATAGCAAGTGCAACCCATGGAGGCAGCACAATGGCTTCCTATTAGAAGGCAGTTGTAACAGAATCAGGGAAAATCAAGATTTAACGACAAACAGTATTACATAGGACTGTGCAAGTTTAATAATAATGTTCACTTAGTAGCGTCTCCACTTTGGATCAACCTAATATTTTTACCATATGTTAAAGTATTTAGGGGGAGGCTGTTTCTTGGCAAAGAGAGGCACAAGTCTACACACTTTTGTCATTAAAAATCTGTGCTTTTGGTTATATACCTGCGTGAACTTTAAAACTTCTTGAAATGCATGATCTTGCAGTTTTTCTTTGTCACTTTCGCAGATTGCTTCAAACTCAGCAAGAAGCTGATGCGGCTTAAGGATTCCTTTTCCATGCTCTTCAATCCTGCAATAACCGATATTAATTACGAAGCCGAAAAACATATGATCAACCCAATATTCTCCTCTATAACAATGAATAATAGACTAAAGAAAGCAATAAGATTTAACGCAGAATATAATACCTGGAAAGAAACAACAGTATCTCATTCCGATGATCTGCAAGAGTAGCATCCAAGCGTTCACGAAGGCTGTGAACACGAGTCAGAACACGCGGATCCGCCATTGATGGAGGTCAATCAGTTGAAAAGTCCGAGACAAGTTTCAACTTCAAGAAAATTACTAGTTAGAGGAAAATAAATAGATACGTATACCTATCAAATATAGAACTTATGAAAGAGAAATTTGACCAGAATATTAATAAGCCACCTAATAATTCAATCAAGAATTCTAAAATTTCAAAATCTAACACCTCATCAGATTAGGGACCTTCCGACATAATGACATTTAATGAATCATAATAAATTGAAACAGGTAACCGATGCGTAACAAACAAGTAAATTACTCATCCATTATCCATAACAAATCATCCTTCAACAAAAAATACAGTAAAAGTTGTAAGAAATACCCATTGTTTGAGATTATTTCTATAATAGTTTGATAGTGTAATTGAAATAAAATCCTAGTAAAATCTTAAAAACTGCTAAAAATGAAATTCAACTAAAAACCCATAGATCATTTCATTTCCATTGAAGATCAAACAGAAATTTTCTGTCAAAACCCACATCTTAAAGAGGATATTTAGCCATCAACTCATGGAAAAAGAACATGCACATGAAAAATATGGACACCCTTTTAACCTGTTAGAATCAGTAACTCAGAAAGCTAAGCAAAAGAACCAAAGCGAAAACATAAACACTGAATTCATTAGGAAAATAGAGAAAAGAGAAACGAAAGTAAAAAGGGAAACATACCAGGAAGAAAATGAAAGAGTTTTGCCTGTGATAGTGGAGAGATCTAGCTTAGCAAACCATATATATACACACAAATTGCTGCTTGTGATACTGTACAAGGAAATATGGCTCTGTAAATGTTGGTAAGTGGGGTCCTTGAAAAAGCAAATTCTCCAAGACCTTATTGCAGTTTGTTTCAATGAAAACCACTTTCCATCTTGTGGACCTTTTTCCTTAATTTCAAGCTTTTTACCGTGGACATGATTAAACAGTATGAAATACGCATTCTGTTCAACTTAAAAGTCCAATCTTTTCTTTGGTTGGTTTAACCTCAGTCTCCTTCGCACATAGTAAATGCACATCCTCGATCTCTCCGCACCCCTAGTAAGTACACATCCTCGATCTATCCGCGCACACGATAAATGTACTTCGACCTTGATATTTTTCAGGTTTTTGTTAGTATGTAATGTAACAACTAAAAAAGCCAGAAAAATGGACTTTTAGTAGAGCGAAACGTAAATGATACGACAAAGAATTTAATCACATCGAGTACCCGTTACTACTCGTATCGATTATCAGGGAGTTACATATTGTTCAAATTTAATTTTGATTCATAAGAATCATAGTTTATTCATGTGTAGTAGAAATCAATGAACTTGTTTATGGAGCCGTCATCAAGTGTACATGTGTGAGGATTTAGTTGAATAGAATTTTAGCTCTCGTTTAGCTCCTATTAAAACTTATCAATTTAATTTAAATTTTTTTCTCTCTTATTTTTAATTACACAATTTTTAAAAAAATAAAATTACACACAAATCGAAAAAAATTCATTTTCTTAAAATCATCTTTTTTTTTTTTTTTCAAAAAATACTATTCTTCCACTATAAATCCAAATAACGGGGTCAAACGGGGTTAATGTACTAAGCATGTGAATATTCATAGGTTCCTGTTATCTTTGACTTTATACCAGTCATTTTCTTGCAGCTTTGCTTGCTCTGGGCCAAAATAAGATGGTACGTGGCGAGAGGCTAGTTGTTTTTGATCTTTACCAGGAAATTAATTGTTCGAGAAAGGATATATTTTTTTCTTTTTATTATAATTAAATGAAAATAAGAAGTAAATTATAGAATATATTGTCTTGTGGAATACAGATTTCATATACCACTTAAAATTCCAAGAATTAATAAAATGAAGATAGACACGGCACTGAGATTTGTCTAGAAGGTGGGGACTTTGAAACAAGCACACGTGGCAATTCATAATTGGTTAGGAAAATAATGGTGGCTACGGAGGTGGGTAGGGGCTCGATTCATAGATGTTCAAGCCCTATTTACTCAATTAATAGGATTGGTCAGGATCGTATCAAATATATGGTCCAACAAGGTTTAAATTTTCCTTTTTTTTTTTTTGGATTTTAATACGACTAGTTTCCAAAACTATCCATAGGAGTGGCTGGCCTACGTTTCAATTTCGTTTTCGGGAAAAAATTACAATTCAAACATTAAAAAGGCATGAGCAAATTCAAGGGGATGAGTTTAACTTTTCAAAACTTAGGTGATAATTACATTTCATTAATTAAATAAAAAAATATTTATTAAATAATATCAATCTCTCTCCAATCCGACCACACGGCATCCATCCCGCCACCATCTCCTCTTACAATTGTCGACATCGACCACCTGTCTGTATCTACTTTCATAGTCACCAATATCAAAATAATTTCATCGGAGAAAAAATAGAATCTACAGAGATCGTCGAAGATTAAATATCTTCTTCAGTGCGAGAGCTAATTGTTGCTCAGTTCATCACTGACTCAAATAGTAGAGAGAGAGGTAGAAACATATGTTCAACAACGGTAGTCTATATAACATGACATTTAACTTGTGAACTATAAATCGTGACCAATTAATGTTGACATGTGAACATATGTAACATATATAATACGACATATAACATATGAGCTATGAACTACAACTTGTGACCCATTAATATTGATCGATAAACATAAATCAATGATTTGTGACCAATTCTATGTGATTTGTGATATGTAAATATTGATCTGTGACCTGTAACAATTGCACAAAGATGTGTGACGTGTTATCGGGTCATGTGTCACGAGCCATTTGTGCACAGGTCACATATCATTGCATTAATGTCACGGATTATCTATTATATTGGTCACAAATTAACATAATTTATTGATGACAAATCGTGTTTATGCAAATCCAACTCAATCCAAAACCAGCACCAAAACCACCACCTGCACTACCATCGTCAACACTACCACCATTAGGCCTGGACACGGTTTGGTTTGGGTTGATTTTGAGTCCAACCCAAAATCAAAACCAAATTAATTGATTTAGGTAAATTTCAACACAAATCAATTCACTCTAACTCTTCAATTGAAATGACCCAAACAAATTCAATTTAATTTGATTCAGTTCGATTCGGTTAGTTGGTTTGCACTTTTAGTTCAAATTGAATTTTTTTTTAAAAAAATTGTCCAAATTTTGGCCGAGTTAAATTACAAGATTTAAAATAACTAAATAATTTTATATTACAAGAATTATTGACTAACAAATAAAATTAAATTACCAGATACAGATCAATAAAAAATTTAAGAATTTTGTTGTCTTTTTATACATTATGTACTCTGACTTTCTGAATAGGAAAAAGGACTAAATATAACATATTGAGCTTGTGAAAGAAAATTTACAATACTATTACTTACCGACAACATCATAGATTGAAGTGAATCGTGATATAGTTATGAGATTAGAGCTTATCTTTTGATATTTATTTTTCTTGAAAAAAATTATAAACATGTAAGTGAGTTGGGTTGGGTTGGTTCGGTTAACCAGCGGTTTAAGACTTCAAATCATGATCGAATAAAACCACCATGATTTTATTTAAATAAAAATCAAATCAAACCAATTACTTGTGTCAAACCGATCGGGTTTGTTTGATTGATTTGATCGATTTTTTGATTTTTTTTTGCTCAGACCTAACCACCATCTCAAAATCCACCACATCTCCACCACAACCACAAGAATCACAACCTCCATCTCCACCACAATCACAATCACAATCATCGCCCAACAAAAAAGCCCCAAACCTCCTCCACACAACACCACCACCTCTCCATTTACAGCAGTGCTTGCTATCTCAAGAATAGTGTGTGGACAAAGACGATGCGATCATGAGTGTTGGTTATCCCTTTTTTGCTAGAGCGTGCATAGCAGCAGCACGGCGCTCAGATCGCCGCTTACAAGAATGATCTAAGCACCAAACAACAGTAGTGTAGAACTGAACTCGTCTATACGCTGTCAATGCTGCCTCTACTCGTGATGCTGAAGAGTATGGGTGGTAGAGAGGCATCACTAGAGATTAATTTTGGGGTGGGGTGGGGGGGGGAGAGAGAGAGAGAATTTTTAATTTTAATTGAATGAATTTTGCTCAAGTAAACTTTACGCTTGATTTTTCAACTGTCTTCATTGAATACTTGGTGTGGTGTAATTTCCACTTTCGATTAACTCACTAAAGTTGCATGTATGGCCCCTGGGCCTATAAACATAGGGCAAAAATTCGGCCTAAGTCGAACTCTTATGAATCGAGTAAATGATCGGCTCGAAAATATTAGTTGATCATGTCCTTCCACGAGGTTTAAAAGTTTAATATCTACTTTTTCCTATATATATTTAAGAATAATTTAGATAATTATCCTTGCTTAAATTTCATAGCCGAAGGCACTAAATTTATTTAGTGTCAGTTAAATTTATCGTAATAAGATAACTAAATTCAAAAATTTATTACAACTGAGTCATGTTGTACATTTCAGTTGAAAATGATAATTGCTAACGCAAATATGTGTCATTAGACACGTAATGCTGCGTCATATTAATTTATGTGTTTAGTGATGCCAATATATCATCATTATTAACACAAAATGGGTCCTTTATTTGTATAAGAAAATAGTGATTTTGAAATTTCCTTAAAGTAATTTCTAGAAAGAAACTGGGATTAGACAAACAACCATAGAAAGAAATGCAATAATTGAATTGTTAGTCTACTCTCGAAGAAAAACTATTTTCCTCTCTCCATCAGGGTGCAATATAGGATAGAATTGTTTATCTCAATTTTTATGAACATTATTAATCGACATTAAAAGCTTAAAAGTTTTTATAAATCGATAAAAGGAACATCGAATAATGGGTTCTTCCACTTGAAAGAGAAGGTTAGTGATTAATTCAATTCTCACACCATAGTTGGTTACTGTTTTGACGAAAAAAATCGATAGCTTTTTGCATCAATTGGTATTGATTGTCGTATTTGCTTGAGTTGAGCATTCGTGTGCTAGGAAATTTTGCACAAATTGTCCTCAACCTATGGGCATTGTGCAAAATCTATCCCATTCTTATAATTTTGACATCGTCATTCTCAATCTGAAAGTTTCAACTTCCGTTTCACAATTTATAAATGGTTTATAAAGATAAATAGTAATAATTCTAGCGAAATATATGAATAGTAATGACGAAAAGGAACAAAGGATTTCTTTTGACTAATTGCAACTTCTTCTTAATTTATTATATTTAAAAATTTTAACAACAAAAATAAAACATGCTCATTACTAAAAATCACGTGCAACTTTTAACTTCAAAAATTACAAAGTTATTCTTCAAATTTTCATTGCAGTCACACAATCAATCTTCAATGACAAAACGTCTAAATCTTAATTAAATTGTCATGTGCTTCCCATGAAAACACGAATTACTTAAATTTTTTAGCATCAATCTAAGTTGAAAAATAAATTCTAGTTTAATAAAGTTAGACATACAGAAAGTCATAAAACGACTGAATAGAGTTTAGACAATCTCCGTCATTGAGTATCGCTTTTATGACTACTAGTCACTGTCACTTTTGTATTTATCGTATTTTATTAGTGTATGAATTTTAATTTTTTGGAAAGTTTTTAAAGCAATATCTAGAAATATTTTCATGATACAAAAAAATAGTTGTAAATTATTTTTACAATTGCATAACAGTATTGTGTCATCTAGAAAAAATATGTTTGTATATTTCATACTTGAATAAGAAATATACGAGGTTATGCAAACTATTTTGCCTGTATTCTTTGATAGTGTTGATATGATTGAGTTGAATG